TAGGGTCCCCTAAAGTGGAGTACAGACCCTCAGACACAACTCATGCTATCCTTGCTACTGCATGCAGATCTTCCCCCTTTCCAATGTCATTCCTATCTTTTTTAACTTCACTCTTTTATGTGTGTTTTGCTCTACCTTTATTTCTTTGACTCTTTGGGTTCCACTGCAAGGACATTCTAGTTAAAATGTTATCTGTTTACCTGAATCTAGAATTTGTTTAATTCTCTCCAAAAGCTCTACAAGAGTGATTCTATAGTAAAAAGTTAAGTAAAGATCCCTTTACATGCCCTTAGGCACATCGGGCATATAGGAAGAGCACCCATATTTTTACAGACCAATCAGCACTTGGTGGGTAATATGGTCACAGCATTACACCGGCCTTCTTTACTTCCCCAGGACAGTCATCCTGGTACCAATTTGAGGCTGGGTCGACCTGCGACGTCCCACACCACGATAAAAATCCACCCAGCCCGCAGTGGGTTTTGATCGCGGTACGTTTGATTACGAGTTAGACTCGCAACGCCTTAGCCACAGACGCCGCAGTGATTCTATAATATTGTGTAATTCCCTCTGTCCTGTACAGGCAGCAGTTAACATGTGCATGCAAACAGTGCTTCCAGTAAAACAGTACTGATGTGAACAGTTCCAGAATAAACAAGAAACTAGAAAGTGTGAAACAGTCCTCAACTGGAAGTCCTTTACTGGCCAAAGCAGCAACATTTTTTAAACAGCTGGCAACAAAACAGTATGTACATGAATATCAAATGTTACTATCTTAAAGCAGTTAAAAACAAAAATCACAACAGAAAAGGAGCACACTTCCTTATGTTTAACTCATCACGGACATGGACTTGATTCTGTCTCACTGAAGTTCCATATTCAGTTCTTGTTTCTTATTTTATTCTACTGAAACACAGGATTCAGTCAACTTGCAACAAGTCATTCTCTTCTTTGTCCCCCTCTGCAGTTCACTGTAGGTCTGTCCTCTATTATTTATTTCACATGTAAGCTGGTATTGTTAGCAATTTTGTTCTTTTAATGTTACTGGGGCAAGAATGTTGAATTGAGAGAATTGACATCACAGCACTAGGGACACTCGCATAAGTTCTCAGAAACCATCTTCAGCAGTAAGCGGAGAATTCCAATTCCGATGGTACCAGCAACTGTCTGACTGTATATCCGTCTCATCCTTCCCCTGAGTGTTGAGTGTCGGCCAGATCCTCTGGTAACTCCTTGCAGCACCTTTCTCCTCAGACCGTAATGATCTATCTGCACCTCTACACTTTACTTGCTCCCAAAGGGCCCTCACAATATCTGACTTGTCATATATGAATTGACCACCAAGTGGTGCAGAACCAGCCAGTCTATCTGCCTGCTCATTTCTCAACACATCGGAGAAAAAATCCTTTTATGGAGTTTGTACTGATGTAAAGAACATTGGTAGCGAAGCTTCCTAGTCTGGTGATCATGTACTTTTTTTCACCACCAACATGAGTTTCAGGACAGCCCCAATTAACAACCCAAATGGGTGCCGAGTGATTCTCTCAGAAGCAGAGTTGGTAGCACAGAACTAATTAAAGTGGAGAAAATTGACTTCATTGCATTGATGTTCATCCCAATTGGCTCGGTCTCTCTCTGCAGAACAGCTAGCTGTCTGCCAGAAGCGCCTTACAGAGCATGAACTTCATAGCTCCGGCAACGATCCCCAGAAATCTTCATACAAATTGCCCTGGAAACTGAATGGCGAAGCCGTAAAATGAACCCACGACCTTAAGAGCGAGAGTCAAATGGCTTGACCACTTCACCATGGAAGTCCCCACTAATTGCGTCACACAGCAAGTGTTGATTAGTCTAAAAAATATGGGACTGGATTCACATACATAATATCGCTCATGGTATGAAAGGGGTCTTACGCATGTGTACAATACAGGTTAATATATGGATACACAGGAAATATTTAAAAAGTACTACTCAAAGGAAAAATGAAACAAAGTAGTGTTGATGAAATTTATTACTATGATGACTGGCTTCCTAATACTGGCTCTCCAGCTTGCAACTTATTTAGTACCAAGCAACTCAGTATAAGTTTACTGATTACCTTATAAGATATGATTTCTTTAACCCCGTGTGACTCATCCAGTTTTTTAAATAACCCTCAGATCACAGTAATTAGTGCAACTCCTCTGTGTGAAAGTTCTTAATTTAACTCCTTAATTTTCCAGTAAAAACTACTTCAGATGGATTGAGTTAAGGTAACAACTGTCTGGACTGAAATAGCAAAAAGTTACAACTGGATGTTCTAGATCCTGTGCTGATTTAACCTTTTCTAACATTCATTAATGTTGACACATCGTCTGTTCTCATTTTAGGAATAGCTTTTAACACCTAATTCTGCAACACAAATAATTTATTTTAGTGGCTCATTACTGTTTGCTCTAGAATCAAAGCTTATCAGAAGTCTGCATGATGATCAAGGCAAAAAAAAAAAAAAAAAAAAAAAATAAAGCTCTGCATCTGGTTTCTATTCTACAACTCTTGAATGTAAATTTTGTTATTCCACACATTTTAACTGATTCAAGAAATGACATAACAGCACTCGGGACATTTCCATAAGCGCTCCATCCCTATCTTCAACAGCCAACAAAGAGTTGGCACCAATGGTGCCAGTAGCATTCTGATTATATGTATCCCCATCTGCATCACTTTCATCAGACTGTGGTGATCGATTTGCTCCTCCAAACTGAACATGTTCTCCAACAAGGTCCTAACCACATCTGTGTTATCATGAATCAATATTCCAGTAAGTTGTGCAGAGGCAGCCAGCCTGTCTACCTGTTCCAGACAATGGTATTATACTGTGCTATGGCCAGATCCCCTTACCACTTCCTTCTGCATCACTCTCATCAGATTGTGGTGATCCATTTGCTCCTCCAAACTGAACACATTCTCCCACAAGGTCCTGACCACATCTGTTTTATCAGGAATCAGTATTCCCCCAAGTTGTGCAGAGGCAGCCAGCCTGTCCGCCTGTTCCAGACAAGTGTTATACTGTTGTGTGACGAGGCAAGGAAATCACACAGCCCATGGTGATGGCGGGTGTGACTAGCAAGACCTGTCCTCATTTCCCAGACAACAGTGTTACACTGTTGTGTGACGAGGCAAGGAAATCACACAGCCCATGGTGATGGCGGGTGTGACTAGCAAGACCTGTCCTCATTTCCCAGACAACAGTGTTACACTGTTGTGTGACGAGGCAAGGAAATCACACAGCCCATGGTGATGGGGGGTGTGACTAGCAAGACCTGTCCTCATTTCCCAGACAACAGTGTTACACTGTTGTGTGACGAGGCAAGGAAATCACACAGCCCATGGTGATGCGGGGTGTGACTAGCAAGACCTGTCCGCATTAAAAGAAGCATTCCAGTTAGAACACAGGATTTCAGGGCCGCTGTTGTCACCAAGTGTTTTCAGTGTGCTTCTTTACAGACGTTCATCTCTCGAAGCATCTACAATCATTTTCTTTCCCTTTCTGATTATTCCCCTTGACGTAACATGGTCCTTGGAATTGTGTTCCCAAAAACCTGTATCATTTATGCCCTGCTTGCACACATCATTATATGGCAGCAGAGGCCCACCTCTGCATCTTCTACCTATCTGTAATACACCACAGAGGGTGTCCTTAGAGACTATCATCCTCCATGTATGGCAAAATATATACTAAGCCTTATATATAATTGTGGAATATATGTTCTCATTATTTAAACCGACAGTGAATAACACTGCTTTAGAAAAAGTATAGTCTAACAGAAAACAAAAAATAACGACCATTTGTGGTTGTCTTGCCTTACATTAGGGTTACTGACTTAAGTTTACTCAGTGGCCAAGATGTTGAACATGGGGGTCGTCACGGGCCAGAAGCCTAAACCCCAGCATAGAAAGATCATTAATACAATACAACTGGCAATGATTCGCTGGCCACTACTAAGTTTCGCGGGCGAGTTTTAGCCAACGGGCTGCCAGATATATAGACCTGCCTTACCCCATTCCTGCCCAAAGATTTACTACAGATTACCCAGTTAAAAAGAGATTTTTGGTCTGCAACAATTATATATAACTCAAGTCTTTTTCTGCTACAACAGAGGGGGAAAAAAGGAAGAAGGGGGGGGGGGGGGGGGAATGATATAAACAAAATAAAGTATTAGTAAATATTATGCAGAAAGAATTATACCTGATAAAGAAAAAGCTCATTTGCTTGGTTTCTGATTCACACTGGCCAGATTTCTTCACATTTTGTTACCAAAATTTCCCGACATCTTTAGTAATCACAACTTACAAACAAGAGCACTCTTTTTCTTTCTGCAGCTTTTCTAACGCAGATATATAGCAGAAAATCAGGCACTGAAGCCTTCTATATATGGCAAACTGTTTTTGATATGCCAGGTCAAGACTTTTATAAACAATTAAAATGTTATTTATTAAAAGAGCTTCAATCAACAATGACAGTTAGCTCTTATGCATCACTGACAATAAATCTACTGTTAAAAAAAAATATTTCACACATACACAAATAAGTGTGAGTTAAAAATTAAACTCCCTGGAAGAGTGTTACCTTCTTGCCAGATGGTAAACATCCAATCAGAGGGTAAACTTCTCGCCTGGGAGTAAACTTCTCAGCAGAAGGTAAACTTTGTGCCAGAGAGTAAACTTACTGCCAGGAGGTACACTTTCCATCAAGGAGTAAACTTTCTGCCACAGCAAACTTTTAATAGTTGAGTAAACTCTTGAAAAGCAAGTAATCTTTTTGTCAGAGAGTAAACTTTCTGTCAGAGGCAGAGCTTTTGATAAGATAGTAATCTTCCTATCAGAGAGTATACTTGTTATTAGAGAGTAAACTTCTTGTCAGGCAACAGACTTCCAATCAGACAGCATATTTCCTGTCAGACATGTCACATAGATAGTAAACTTTCTGCCAGATGGTGAACTTCCTGCAGATGACTTTATCACAGTTTTGCTTTTGCCTTGGTTACATCAATGAAAGGTTTTGGTAAGGGGTACAGACCCAGGTCACGCTTGAATTCCATGACATCGGTGATAACGGTTGCCTTGAGAAGACAGAGAAAAACAGTGATATCAAATAAAATTAACCTATCAGACATCATCATCATCAAATGGTTTGGGAAATCAAGTCTACACACTCCAGTTAGACAAACAAGAAAACAATCAAATGGTCTGGATAATTAAGTCTACACACTCCAGTTAGACAAACAAGAAAACAATCACATGGTTTGGATAATCAAGTCTACACACTCCCGTCAGACAAACAAGAAAACAATCGTATGGTCTGGATAATTAAGTCTACACACTCCAGTTAGACAAACAAGAAAACAATCGTATGGTCTGGATAATCAAGTCTACACACTCCAGTCAGACAAACAAGAAAACAATCATATGGTCTGGATAATTAAGTCTACACACTCCAGTCAGACAAACAAGAAAACAATCGTATGGTCTGGATAATCAAGTCTACACACTCCAGTCAGACAAACAAGAAAACAATCAAATGGTCTGGATAATCAAGTCTACACACTCCAGTTAGACAAACAAGAAAACAATCACATAGTCTGGATAATCAAGTCTACACACTCCAGTTAGACAAACAAGAAAACAATCACGTGGTCTGGATAATCAAGTCTACACACTCCAGTTAGACAAACATGAAAAACAGTCACTTAAGAAACAGTTGGTAGTGAGGATTCTGGGCCCCATTTGAGGGAGGCCTGCCATCTACTGAACAAGTATGTTGTCAAAGGTGATTAATTAGAGATGTTTCCTTTGAAGATAAAGTGCTTCTGCCCGAGAGGTGTAAAACCAACAGTCTGCATCTGTTACATGGATGTGCATGCAAAACTCAAGTTCTGGAACAACAAGTGGACAAATAGTCAGAATTTGATGCTGGTGTTTGCAGCACCTTGAGAAAGAGAATAAGTGCTTTTGAGCTGAAATTCTATAGAAAGATTCTCAGAATATCTTGGACAAAGAAAAGGAGAAATTTTGACATCTTAAAAGATCTGAACATCAAGGAAGATTGGCTAATAAACAGCATCCTTTCTCAGAAGCTGAAGTATTTTGGTAATATCAAGCGCCATGACTGACTGGAAAAAATTATAGCAGAAGGCATGGTACCAGGAAGGAGAGCAGGGGCCGACCGACACGAAGATGGGCACAGGATATAAGAGACTCCTTGAGTATGAAAGTACATGAGGCGGGAGAACTGGCGAGAGACCGAGTTTCTTACAGGCAGACTGTGATGAGAGTGACGTTCTGCAAAGGACCTGCTACATGATCATGATGATGATGATGTTTGCAGCTGGTGAAAACTAAGAAGATATGAAGAATAAGTAAAAAGCATTCAAATTATACCCATGCAAGATGAGCCTGATTCCTCTATTTTATTGTTAAGCAGCAGCAACTATTTATTTACTTTAGAAAGGAAAGCAAACCAACAAGTCAGGTAAAGTTAAACAAAAAAAAATGCAGAGTGGATTCAAGAACCATGAACATTAGTTCCCAACCCGGTCCTGACTTTAGGTTACAATGAAACTGCCTGGGACCCAAGTAAAACTGCTATGTGGCTGAATGGGGTTTCTGTGATTCCCAACCTTGAGACAGAAAGCAAGTCACTCTACTAACATATTTTCAGGATGTTCTAACTCAAACGAATAACTCAGATGAAGCCAAAATGTATTTTACAACAAAATAATTTGGAAAAAAGAAGGGCATGCAACAAATGGTTTAAAGAAGGATAAGAGAAGCAAATATCAATAGAAGACAGAATTACAGAATAAGAAAGAGGACGAAGAAAATTAGCAGTAGAAGAAAAAGGAGCAGCAGAGGCAACGAAGATGAAGAAAATAATAAACAGAAGGAGAAACAGCAGGATGAAGGAATACATAGTAGAAGAAACTGGAAGTAAATGCAAAATGTGGAGGTGAAGTAGGTGTAAACAATTAAGGAAGAATAAGTGAAGTAAAGGCAAACAGAACTAAAATATTCTACACATTATACTCTACCAATGGAAGATCAGGGGAAGGCAGGAACCCATCCATGTCTCCCTTCTCTGTCGTCTCACTGCCAGACTCTGCTTCTTGCCTGCTAGTCTCAGCGTCAGAACCTCCCTGAGGCACCTGTGATATCACATGAACTGACAACTTGTGTCGTCTTGGAGCATCCAGTGCAATCTTCTCCTGCAGGAAGACACCAACCATATGTTACTGTCTTTAACAGAGACACAGTCCTGTGGCTTAGAGGTTAGTGACATGGTTTCCGAGTGCAGTCCGGATACTTTCACGGCTTTCAGACAGTGATACAAGAGTCACACTGTGGAAACAAGTCATTATCCTCCGCCTCAGAACAGGGCACAATCGATTATGTAACCACATGTACACAAAATTCAAGATGGGCGTATCAGCCATGTGCACCTGTGGAAAGGTGCCCCAGACAGCAGAGCATGCACTCCATGACTAAACCAAATTTGACACATTAAGGCAAACTTTTTGGCCAGAAAGAAGAACAGTGGAACCTAAACTCTATGGAACACTGAATGAACTAACAACGACAGTGAAATTTATACAAGAGATAAAATTGCTGATATAGACAACTTATTTCAGGTGAATGAAAGAAGAAAAAGAAGACACCGTGGAAAGACTAGCTGTGGATACATTGTAGCCAACATCCATTGTGGACAGAATAGTTGTGTGATAATCATTGTATTTCTTTATCTTTTGCCTTTCATCCACTACTAGAGCATAGGCTCCCAAACAACATGAAATTTCAGAGGTACTCAAATGGAACAGCAAAAACAAGATGCAACAGCTAGATGAAGGCACTGTCATCACCTGCTGTGCACTATATATATCACACAGAATGCACTGTCATCACCTGCTGTGCACTATATATATCACATAGAATGCACTGTCATCACCTGCTGTGCACTATATATATATCACATAGAATGCACTGTCATCACCTGCTGTGCACTATATATATCACATAGAATGCACTGTCATCACCTGCTGTGCACTATATATATCACATAGAATGCACTGTCATCACCTGCTGTGCACTATATATATCACATCAGACTAAGAATCAATTCCTCTAAATAAATGCATTTAAAAACACAGGCAGTTACTTTTGAGTGTGGTAGATTTTGTATTTCGGTATCTGGGAAGACTAACCCCAGCAATAAAGGCCTGCAGAAGTTGGATGTGTCAGCCGAAAGGCCTAAATATTGCAACTATGTACTAAAATGGCACAACACATTTACATCTTAAGATGAACGCAGAAGAAGAAATATTTCAGCTTTCAGGATTTTTTGTAATTTATTAAACTGAGATAGTGAAATATGCCATGCAATAAACTGTGCAAGCTGCTGTTTGTGACTTTCTTCAAATTGTCATTTATATCTTAAAACATTTCACAGATATAGAAAGAGGTATATAAAATCACCGTTACTAAAATAATTACTAATAAACTCCAAACACTCATTAAATGGTCCCTGATTAGAACACAGCCAACTAAACAGTAGATAAAATAACCAATGTGAAGCTCTGTGAGACTTCTTCTAGTGTATATTGTGTTGTGTTGGCATTCATGTCTATCCACAACCTTCTGTCTCATGTACTGACATTCAGTTCTGACACACATGATCTTCCATGTCATTTCAAACAGTCCAGCATCTTTTTTTCTAGGTCACCCTCTTCCTCTCCAACTTTCCCACCACTGTGATGCACTCCAGTTTTTTTTTTTTTCATGATATGATCAAAGAATGTAGATTGCCTCTTCGTGAAGCTGACAATCAGTTCTCTTTGTGAGTCAGTCGTGAGTCAGTCTCTTTCAAGACGTCTTAATTACTCTTTTTATCTGTCTGGGGTGTTCTCATTTGTCTATAAAACCACATCTTCGCTGCTTCCACACAACTGTTCACTAATTAGCCAATTGTCCATGATTCACATTCATATGTCAGGATCGGATTGATACAGTTCTGAGAATTCTCTATCTCACCTCAACTGTCAAACAAAGATTGCACTAATGTTTTCCGTTTTTGTAAAATGTTGCCCTTTCTCAAGCTATTCTACATATTCAATTCTTTTAACACATCTTCTATCTGCTTTTATCAGGGTATCCAAGTACTTAACATATCGGCTTGCTTGAGGATTGCCCCACTTACTCTGATGTTGTTTTGGAAGAGGTCCGTTTTCTTTGTAATTATCACAGCTTCTGTTTTTCTGCTGTTCCAACCAAGACCTACGTTTCTGTCCATCAATTCCTGCAGTTGTGTTTCATTTTCAGCGACCAAAGCGGTATCTTTAGCATTCAGCCCACAATATGCCCACCAACCGATATTCCTGGCATACCATGTATGTATCTCAGTATTATTTCACTAATCAAATTTGAATAAATTGGGTGATAGCATACATCCCTGTCTAAGGCCTTGTTCAATGCTTCGAAAACTTCCTACTTTATGAAGAGCAAAGACAGAACACACAAGACATTATAAAAGGGTATAAGAACTTCAGACTTTAGAAAACATACAGCTACAAGTTGTTTGAAAGGAAAAGAATTAAGAAAAAGTACTGGGCAAAGACAAGGTAGTTGAAAGATGGACAGAATATATCAAAGAGCTAAATGATGATAACTGCAGACCAAACATACGAGAGTCGTGAGTACTGTGAGAGAATGCCAATACCGAAAAGAAAAGTAAATAAAAGATGCTATACATTATATAAACAAATGTAAATTTCTGGAGCCAAAAAACACCACTATTAAGGAAATGGGTATTGAAGTTTTGACAACATTGTTAAATGATATTTGAGAGACAATTACACAAAATGCAATCAATCAAAAGGCAAGGAAAAGACAGTGGTAGTGCTTTCTGAAAAACAAAAATAACTCGTCAACAATATAACTAGAATGTACTAGTACTGGAACCTCCAGAGCCTACAGATTAAAGGCACACAAAATAACTAATGCAAAGAAAAAGACAGAGAGCACATGGGGTGAGCTGCATGCAAGGGTAAAGGACAGGATGACTTGGTGTGAGCTGGATGAGGGCCAATGCTTCGATGAGGGATAACCACAGAAGAAGCAAACCACTGTGATGTCTAAAGTAACAATAGACAACAATTAAATTCAATGATTGACAGCTTCTGCGTTAATTGCAGATGGCCGGCCTATGGATCAAGCAGACACTGTCAATCCCCCTAGAGAGGCAGGATGTTCCGAATATTTTGGAAGCAATGTGCTCACATCACTGCTAAGAATACGACAACTGGGAGTAAAGATCGGCGCAGCCAAGCATGAGAGGCACATCAGACACACAAGAAGTCTTTTCAACCAGCACAAGACTGGTACTATTAACCATGCAAAGCTGATGAATGTGTTGAGAGGGGAATCTGATCACTTATGGATGTGCCCGGAGTGCTGTGAAGATAATTCAACTCAGAACTCAAATTCAATAAACACAAGCTCATACAAACAAAACATTTCAGTCAAAGCTTTTACAAACAAGCACCACGCAAAGAAAAATCCTAAAAGCTTTTACAAACAAGCACCACACAAAGAAAAATCCTAGGCACCAGCCCCAACATGGGATTCTTGTGGTCTGTGTTGTTGCTATGGCTCTTGTTGATACAGGCTTCGGCTGAAACTTTTAATTGTTTCTGTGTTTTTATTTTATTTTTAACTTCATCCTTTGTTGAGCTTCCTAGTTATTGCTTGTGTTTAGTGAATGTACTTCTTGACACTAGCTCGACCAGTCACCCTTATTTTTCATCAACAGACAATCACCGGTGAAATCCAACATGTAACACTAATTAACTTTATACCTTATAAAATTTATATAAATCATCCTTCTTCAGCTGCTTGAGAAAAGCTACTTCTATGTTGTCTGAAATGAAAGATATTAAATAAATTATAATAAATGCTATGTTCTTATTTTTGCCATGGCCACTGATCTGATCTAATACTGATAAAATCCCACAGCGCATGCTGATTCAGTCAATAAACCACAGTTGTTTTGTGTGTGTGAACAACCGTCCATCCTAGGGACCATGGAGTTGTGCCAGTGGTTTTGATAACAGAGTCCGCTATGATTAAAGTCTAATGCGGGTATGGCAGTCTCTGTCACACAGTCCACATACAAACACTGACACTCTATCAGTCTAAGGCTGGTGGCAGTCTGTCACATAGTCCACATAAAAACACTGACACTCTATCAGTCTGAGGCTGGTGACAGTCTCTGCCACATAGTCCACATAAAAACACTGACACTCTATCAGTCTGAGGCTGGTGACAGTCTCTGCCACATAGTCCACATAAAAACACTGACACTCTATCAGTCTGTGGCTGGTGACAGTCTCTGCCACATAGTCCACATAAAAACACTGACACTCTATCAGTCTGAGGCTGGTGACAGTCTCTCCTTAGACTATAATGATCTATCTGTGCACTGTTCACCCGCTCCCAAAGGGCCCTCAGTGTCTCACGTTAGCTATCTGCCTGCTTATTTCCCAACACACCGGCATGACCTCAAGAAAATATCCAAAGGATGCTAACTACCCGGGACCTCTGAAGTGATGCTTGCCACTCTGCATGAAGTTTACTTTTACTTCCAAGATTTTTTTTAAACAGACATTGTACACATTATAATGAACAGGTTAGAGAACCTGTGCAATAAACTGAGAGAAATGAACAGGTTAGAGAACTTGTGCAATAAACTGAGAGAAATGAACAGGTTAGAGAACCTGTGCAATAAACTGAGAGAAATGAACAGGTTAGAGAACTTGTGCAATAAACTGAGAGAAATGAACAGGTTAGAGAACTTGTGCATTAAACTGAGAGAAATGAACAGGTTAGAGAACTTGTGCATTAAACTGAGAGAAATGAACAGGTTAGAGAACCTGTGCAATAAACTGAGAGAAATATACAGGTTAGAGAACTTGTGCATAAAACTGAGAGAAATGAACAGGTTAGAGAACTTGTGCATTAAACTGAGAGAAATGAACAGGTTAGAGAACCTGTGCATTAAACTGAGAGAAATGAACAGGTTAGAGAACTTGTGTATTAATTAAACTGAGAGAAATGAACAGGTTAGAGAACTTGTGTATTAATTAAACTGAGAGAAAAACAGGTTAGAGAACTTGTGTATTAATTAAACTGAGAGAAATGAACAGGTTAGAGAACTTGTGCATTAAACTGAGAGAAATGAACAGGTTAGAGAACTTGTGTATTAATTAAACTGAGAGAAATGAACAGGTTAGAGAACTTGTGCATTAATTAAACTGAGAGAAATGAACAGGTTAAAGAACTTGTGCATTAAACTGAGAGAAATGAACAGGTTAGAGAACTTGTGTATTAATTAAACTGAGAGAAATGAACAGGTTAGAGAACTTGTGCATTAAACTGAGAGAAATGAACAGGTTAGAGAACTTGTGTATTAAACTGAGAGAAATGAACAGGTTAGAGAACTTGTGCATTAAACTGAGAGAAATGAACAGGTTAGAGAACTTGTGCATTAAACTGAGAGAAATGAACAGGTTAGAGAACTTGTGCATTAAACTGAGAGAAATGAACAGGTTAGAGAACGTGTGTATTAATTAAACTGAGAGAAATGAACAAGTTAGAGAACTTGTGTATTAATTAAACTGAGAGAAATGAACAGGTTAGAGACCTTGACTGAGAGAAGACTGAAGAAGTGACAGAATATAAACACTCACCTCGATCAAAGTTGTAATAACTAGAGATAATCTCAGTCCAGTACTTGTTGTTTTGTTGAATCAATTTCTTTGGTTTCTCCATCCGCTTGGAAGACAGTGCCTCGATATGCTTGTTAAACTCCTCGTCTGTCATGTTTAAGATCACATCCTAATAAACAGAATAATTAATTTAGCACAAGATGAGACAACTTTAGCACTGCTTGCTGTTAAAATGTTTTAGTGCAGCGGCTAGTACGCTTGTCCTCCAGCTCTAATAGGCCCTTGATTAGTGTCAGTATCACATCTGTCACTTTTACCTCCAGGAATATTTTTTCTGCTGGCCCAAAGGTCTTGGTTTCAAATCTGCACTGAGGCAGATATTTTTTGAAATTGGCTCCCAGGCCAATTCAGCCTAAACATGTGCCAGGTAATATTCTGGGAAGTAAAAGCGACTGGTGTGATGTTTACCAAATCGCCCCTCAAACATGAGTCTGGCACCATATATCTGATGCACCACAGGTGCAGAAAGGGTCCTTCACTAATGTTTTTTTATGTTATGTTTAGTTGATCTGGCAGTCACAATCAATTAAACACAATCTATGTTATGTTGGATTGATCCAGCAGTCACGATCAATTAAACACAATCCATGTTATGTTTGGTTGATCTGGCAGTCACGATCAATTAAACACAATCCATGTTAAGTTTGGTTGATCTAGCAGTCACGATGAGTTAAACACAATCCATGTTATGTTTGGTTAATCTGGCAGTCACGATCAATTAAACACAATCCATGTTAAGTTGGGGATCAAGGCTTACAAATACTGGGCCAACAGTCGAGCGTGATAGCCACTGCCCTATGATGACATAAACAAAACAAAAACACTCCCTGGATGGGTTCAGATCCCATTGTGGGGGAAACAAGAATAGACCCACTGGCTCCCCCCAAAAGTGTGCGATATGAGTCGACTTATTGGGGCATCCTTCAGAGAAGGAGTAAATCTGTCTGAGAAGCAGGGAACCAACAGTCTGCATATAAATAAGCCAGATGTGCATGCATGTACTGAAACAAGACCAAAGTCTAGAGATGGACAAACAACTAGAACTTTCTGCCAGAGTTTACAGTCGGTGACTGCGAAGAAGAAGAAGAAGAGAAAAAAGAAAAACACCATGAACAAAAACAATTTCACAATCGCTGCTGTTGGCACTTTTCTGTCTTAATCAGACAATGGTGTAATACTGTGTTAAGGGGCAGCATGACAATCACCACCCATGGCAATGATGGCTGTCACTAGCAAGACCCGTTCTCATTTAGAAAAGTCTTTTACAATTATAGCATGAGATTTAGGTACCACTACTGCTGCCACATGTCATTTAATGTGCCTTTTCTCATACACTCAGACCTAAACTTATCTTCAATCATTTTTTAAAATAAATTTTATTTTCATTCCCTTGCTGGCACCCTTTTCCCCTCCCCCATTTAACTTCTTCCTTATGTTCACTGCTGTAAACTGTTGCGGAAAGTTCATTCTGTTCATACATTTCTAGACTTCAGTCTTATTCCAGCACTTGGATTTTGCATGCAAATCTATTTTACAGATCTGGCTTATTTGTATGCAAGCTGTTGGTTCCTCACCTCTCAGGCTTATGCTTCTGACTTCAAAGCAAACATAGTATGTGCTACATATGCTGGTATAGACAGCTTCAGATATTCTATCCATCCATCCAACGTTTGCGTGGTCGACCTCCAGCATTGCTTCCATCAAGTTTGAGTGACAGGCCTCTCTGGGGTGCACTATCTGGTGGTAGTCTTGACACATGACCAAACCATTTGATGCCTGAACTGTCACAGGACAATAACGTCTGCTTCCATTGACAAATCACTGACTAAGCTAGCGCAAAGGATGTGACTAATAGGTAATGAACGTGTTTTACATTTTGATGATATTCGAGGTCTTGGGAGTCAATTTCGGAGGTAGATAGTTTATTCAAATTTAAAAAAAATTAAAAAACAAAGTTATTTTTGGACAGAGTTGCACCATGGAAGAGATTTGGGCCTGGACTTCTCAATGTTCTCAAACCATCATTATGGAGACAGTAAATACATTGTTTTCCCTACTACAATAAATAAAATATTAATACCGCTTCTGGTGCACAGAAAGATACCTCTAACCTCTGCTAACTGAAGCAAATCTCATAAGAACGGTTTTTTGGCCGACACTGTGCTACCAGCGCCAAACATAGACCCTTACTACAACTAATGAGCGGTAGATTGTAACAACAGAGATGAGATGTCTTAGGAGAACTGCCGGTGTGACAAGAAAAAATTAGGATTGAAGAAATCGGAAGAAGACTAGGATTGAAACCAGTCATTCAATTCTTAGGAAACAACAAACGAGATGGTTTGGCCACCTCACAAGAATGCCCTTGTACCAGCTGCCACAGACAGCCACGCTGAAGAAATGTAATGAACACATAGCAAGGGAAAGACCACGTAAGAGATGGGCCGACATCACCAGGAGCGACCTAACAGAAATAAACACCAACCTGTACAATGCATTGGAAAAAGCGCACAAATGATCCTTACACCCCCGCCCCCCACACATCGATGAGGGAAATGGTAGAAGAGAAGAAGCAGAAGATGAATGAAGACCCGGTGGACAAGCAGGTGCCAAACTGCAAAAGTCAAAAGTATTTCTATTGTTTTAACTGACAATATTTGTCAATAGAAATATTTGTCAATAGAAACATTTGTCAATAGAAACATTTGTCAATAGAAATATTTGTCAATAGAAATATTTGTCAATAGAAATATTTGTCAATAGAAATATTTGTCAATAGAAATATTTGTCAATATAAATATTTGTCAATAGATAAAACAGAAGAAAGCGTTCCGTGGTTGATAGTCCCAGTCCTATGTTGGTTGACAAGACTTCTCATGTGTCCGGTGTGCTTCTCGTGCCTGGCACAAGCCTAAACTGCCACAGTTCAAAAATGTTTGCTTCCACTGATAAATCACAGACACTCAGCCAGTGTTAATAGCAGAGTAACAGAAAAATGTCAACTAAGTTGTGAAAAGAACAAAGTCAAGGCATAACTGACCTCCATCTTCTGTATGAATGCTTCAATCCTTCCTTCCACAAACTGAGGCGGCTTGGATGATTGAACAATCACTCGCAGACCTTGTACCCCTTTGGATCTTCTCACGCCACTGAACACTATGTATCCTGTTTTATCAAGGAAACGTTTTCAATGCTGTTAAACAAGACAACGATTTTTTAACCGGACAGCTGAATAAAATTAAATGACATAACATATTGAATATCTAATATACTACCATTCTTCATCTGCATTTTATCCCCCGAATCTGAGAAGGCTAACCCATTTAATAAATGAAGAAGCCAGATGTGTTGGCTGAAAGGCGCAACTACTTCAGCTCTTCTGTACAGAGGCACAAGACAATTACATACACATTATGACAATACTGGTATGAGAGACAGGAAAAATTAAAATAACCTCATTTTGGAGAGAGAAAAAAATACACCCACTGCGCCTAAGCAAGCATGCAAGAAAAGGCAACTAATCAGAGGTTTTGTGAAATCCGATATGCTGGGCCAAAAGGTGCAGATATTGCAGCCTAGCTGTAAACCACAACACAACATGCCAACCGCTCTTTTAAAGGCAAACACAGAAATGGAAGAATATGTGGTGGAAAATACCTGTGTGTGATTTAGCAAAGTGAAGTAAAGGACCTTTTTTCCACTCCTTCAGGCCTACTGGGCATATAGGGCTAGACCTATATTCTACAGACCAATCAGCACTCGGAGGGTGATGTGGTCAACATCATGCCAGCCGCCTTTACTTCCCAGAACAATACCTGGCATCCGCTCAAGGCTGGGTCGACATGGCAGCCAAGGTCATTTTTGAAAAAATGTCTGGCTCTCCCGGGACCCGAACCCACTACCTTCTGATCCACAAGCGAGCCTCTAGCAAATGCAGCATGGCCGATTCCCCTGGAACAAAAATTAAAAATTACCTAGCTGCTCCTGTGTCCTCAGAATATTGAAGCAAGGCTCGCCAATTACCTGTAAAGTTGATAGAAAGAAAACATATCACTGGTGAAACATTGCAGATTATCTAACTATCAAATTTTAGTATAAGTATTTTTTTCTGGAAAACATCTTGTTGAGGTAGTCTCCATTACGACATCTGAAATTAGTAAAATGAACAGAGAAATTAAATGTAGATGTTCTATTTTAAACACTCTGGATAGCAGGAATGAAGTCAAAAACCTGATGACAACTGCACAGTTTGATGGGGAAAAGAAAAGCAAGGGGAAGACAAAGAAATAAATATCTGGATGATTTGGCTGAATAGTTTGAGTAGGAGAACAACAGTAGCCGGCTTCTGTGAGAAGTTGAACCATGACCCCTTATGTGCTTATTGGCATTGCAAATGATGATGATTCGTTGCTACAGAATTAGCAAAATGGCAGCTAACTAAAATATAATTCTCAGCACCCAATCAATCTCCTCTCATGAAAACAACAGACCCATGTATTTAGACTGTGAGCTGCCATCTCAGCCATATGAACAAGAAATTCAAGATTGGGGACTCAGAACTTTTTCTATTACCACAGGAATCACAGACGTACTCCTCTCTACATGCAGTAGGGAGACCCCAGGTCTGACCAATTAGCATTCCAAAGGAAAAACTAAATGCTTTGGATCAGTGGAGGACATATTCACACAACATCCTTCACAGAGACTTGTAGTCCTCTTATCTGAAAACCACTGGCAGAAAGAAAAAATGAGTTATGATTTGGTTTTCTTCATGGCACTCCGGACATGACCACAGGTGCTCAGATTCCCCCTTCAACATACACATAAGCGTTCTGTGGTTGATAGTCCCAGTCCTATGCTGGTTGTCTAGACTTCTCGTGCCGATCTTTACTCCCAGTTCTTGCACTCTTAGCAAAGATGTGGATGTGCTGACCTCTTATCGTCCTACTTCTCTAATGGCATTAACAATGTCTGCATGATCCATGGGCTGGCCCTCTGTAACTAAGGTAGAGCTGGCTAATCTGTCGGCTAGGACAAAGACGAAGGTAACTCCATGCACATTGGAGTTTTGCAATGGCTTGATTCACTGTCTGCGTACAAAGCCCACCTCGACCCGCCGGATCATGCTCATGGAATCAGCATACACAAAAACACAATGATGACAAATCTAGTTAGAAGTAGACTAACCATAGCAATACAGAGATTAAGCAGCATAAATTACGGCACAACAAAAACAAACACATCTTTCCTGTGGTTGCATATGAATTTGAATCACAGACAATGTCACAAACAATAAAGAAAAACTAGGTTTAAAAAACAAACAAGTTACAGACAAATGTTTAGAATATCATAGATAAAGAAGAAAAAAACTGACATTATACAAAATCTGAACATCAACGAGACAAGCTTAACTCTTTGAGACCCAAAGAACGCATCATACGTTCGCAGGTTCCCAGTGAATGCATTATGCACTGATTTTATGTCTCTCTTTTTTAACCCTTTGGCCTGTGATGCAAAACACTCTGGGATTCAAAGAGTTAAGAACAGTATTATGACTTAGAAACTAAAATACACTGGCCACATCAAACACAATGTATCTTCTTCTTCTTCTTCTGCGTTCATCCAAAGATATAATTGCATTGTGTCTGTTTACAGCATGGCTGCGATATTTGCACCTTTTGGCCAACACATCCGACTTCTGCGGGCATTTGCTGACCGGGTTAGCCTTCCCGGAAACACCATGTATGAAGTTACTAATAAAAACATCACAAATTGCTTGAAACCGATGAGTCAAGACTGAGCTGACCTGACAGAAGAGCTCCAGCAACATGTTGCTCTCTGTGTTCTGTTGTCCGCACTGGTAGTAAACCTCGATGCCTGAACTCTCATGGACCACATTCTTCTCCTTGTGGACAAAATAACAACCTAGCGCAGGGAACAAAACAAAACAGCTGAACTTCAAAACTGTGAGAAATGTTTCTTTGCTTAAATCACAAATCAGTGAAATGACAGTTTGAGAAAAGCCAAGAACAAAACCAGAAAATACTGAGAAATAAAGAGATTGCTAGAAATACTGGAATACTTCCTTTTCTTTCCATCTTGTACCTCAGTGAAGTGTCGGGGCGAGATGTAACGTTCAGTGATAAGCTCTGTCAAGAGCACTATTAGGACTAATGTTCATTTCTGTAAGGCTGTTCTTTATGCCATCACTCCATCTTTACCAAGGTCTTCCACTCGCCCCATACCCGTTGTAATGTTTCAGTGTGGCTTGCTGTGGTAGATAGTACTAGGGCATTCTTGTTAGGTGTCCAAATCACTTCATTTGTTGTTCTTTGATAAACTGTAAGACTGGCTTTATTCCTAGCATTTATCTGATTTCAAGATTTCATTTTCTGTCTTTCCTTGAAACTCCTGCAGCACTTCTTAGGCATTTCATCTCTGTTGTCACAATTTTACGTTCGTAATAGGATGTAAGTGTCCATGTTTGGCACTGATAGTATAGTGTTGGCCAAAAAAAAGTTATAAGATTCACTTTAGTACTCCCGGGTATCTGCTTGTGTGTCAGCAGGGAAGATAGTTGCCCTCATTACTTGATTAGCTTTGAAACATTACCCATCATTAAATTCATTGAGACAAAGACTGAAATGGCTCAGCCAGCTACATAAAATGAGCCCAGTGATGTCACACTGAGAGCGTACAACCTGGCAATTGAAACACCAGGAGGCAGATGTAGACCAAGAACAACATGGATTGAGGAAATCACTGACAGCCTAAGATCTCACATCACAGCATACCGGCTCGGCAAATCTAGTACAGATCATATGTTAAACCAGTGATCTCCATCATGGGAGGTGCCCTCCCCCCCCCCCCCCCTCTCCAGGGGGGAGTGAGAAAGTTGAAGAAAAAAAAGGGGGTGGGGGGGGGGGGGGCGTCATGCAGTTTTAAAAATGAGTGTATTTGGACTTGTAATCAACTGTTATACCAATAATTTGTTTTTCACATTAATTATAAATAAAATATTTGTTAGACGCTTAAAAAAAAAGGCTAAGATGTTTTTTGTTTGTTCTTGGGAGCAATTTGTACATCTACCGTTTAAAATCTAATTAATATATTAACATGTGCATTTAAGGACAGATTAATAACACCTCTTTCTGATCACATTTTAATATACTGGGGAGGGGGGTCCTGCCATACACTCAAAAAAGGAGGGGGGGGGGGTGGGGGTCTTGTCACAGACTCAGGGCGATGTGAGGGTCTTTCCACAGACTCATGGGGGGGGGGGGGGGGGCGGGGGGGTGCTGCCATACACTGAAGGGAGGTAGGGGAGTCTTGTCATAGACTCAAGGGAAGAGTGGGGGGCGCCACCTGTGCTGGCTGTTCACAGTGACATTAAAATGTATTACAAACACAGACCAAGAGGTGAGACAGAACCAACAACTTACCGTCAGGCAGCTGGACTTCCCTCAGCTTGCGGTGCTGGCTCGGCAGAAGTGGCTTGGTGCCAGAGTTGTTCACCAAAATCTTCTCCACCATATCCATCATTTGCAGAGATTGCTAACATCCACAGAAAAATGACACACAAGAGGTTTAGACATTACAGTTTTACATTCATAACCCCCCCCCCCCCCCCCCCCCCCCCCCCCCCCCCCCCCCCCCACCCCCCCCCCCCCCCCCCCCCCCCCCCCCCCCCAATGAAAATGAATTTATAAATGTAAAATTATAAAGACAATTAGCAGTCTGTGAATTTGAATACCCACATATTTTAATAAATATGAAAAAAACATCATGATCCTCAAGTAAGTCCTTGGTGGAACGTTGTTCCCACCGAGAAGAACTGGAAAGCAACTAAATTCCTCACAGCATTCTCTTGCCCTGCCTAATGGCATAATGGAAAATGTGATTCCACATACTATAATTAACAAAAGCATGTATCAAGTTATCTGTTGTTATTTTTTGTCCCATGACAAATTTCTCCCACTGTCTTCCTCTGTATCTTTTTGCATTTAACTGTCCAGCTGTCACAACACGCTTCTTCTAATGTTAAAAAAATCAACTGCATTTTTGATACTCACATTAAGTTGTTTTTGAGACTTCGCCACTTTCAAAACATTTACTTTACTTATTTTGGTTTACCAAGGAATTTCCATTGCTCCCCTCTAAAAAACATATTTGACAGACTTCAAGGGATTTCTCTTTTCTGGTTACTAACTGTCCATGATTCAGGGAGATATATTAAAACTGATTCTATGTAACATGCAAGAAATGTATCAAGGGATTTCTCTTTTCTGGTTACTAACTGTCCATGATTCAGGGAGATATATTAAAACTGATTCTATGTAACATGCAAGAAATGTATCTTTCTTCCAATCTGCTGAAAAAGGGTGCTCTTGTTTGTTTAAAAAAAGTAGATTTAAAACAAATTATCCTATTCTTTACTGATATACCGGCATGATGCTGACCACATCACCCATCTTGTGCCGATTGGTCCATACAAATATAGGTCTAGCCCTATATTCCCCATACGCAAGGGATTTTTAATTTTACTGATTTGGACTGATAACAAACATATTTGCACAATGAAAGGGTTATGGGAACTTGAAGGAAACTTGTCTGTGTATGTCTATAAATTAAAAACATACACAACTTTCTCTTTCTGAAGCACTCTGGAAGAAGAAAGAGGAATAGGGGAGAGAGGTAGAAGGAAAGAGAAAGGAGAGAAAAAGAGACTCAACCAAATATGTATACACAAATATAAAGTAAATGACAGACATCCACATACATATAGCTATAAAGAACACATGCATACATTCAATTCACGGGCCAACAAATTAAACGATAGGTAGTATTCATTAAAGACAAAATCACTACACATCTTTATGCATGTTCTTTATCTTTTTACTAAGTGTCTGTTTGAAAACAAAATGGCCTCACAGCAGAGTTATTCATAAATGCCAACAAGATTTGTGGTTTTAGAAGCCTCAAATTTAAATAAAACACAGGTTTATAAGATTTATGCAAAATGGACAAAACAAAGTTGATAAGGAGACTTTTTTCTGTCATTGATAAAGTCAAACTTTGATGAAGGATAGCTCTAATATGTGCCTCATGCAAATTTTGCAATAACGAAATTAGCTGTCATAAATAGAAATTTTGTGTGTGAAAAATGTGGTTTGCTTCAGTGTAAGTTAGGCCTAATGTGATTCCCTTATTATTTGTTTTACTATTTTATATTTACATTTTATATCATATTATCCTGTATTATTTTATTTTTATTATTTATTTTATATCTTTCACGTGTTATTTGGAAACACAGGCTATACAATTAGGGGCAAACTGGGTGTTAAATAAAGTTTTTGTGTGTGTGAAAATACTAATTGTTTTATTTACCAAAAAAAGGTGCTCTGTTATGGTGTTCCAAAAGTTTCTCTGGAGCAAGATCTAATGTACAGATAGTGTCTAAAGTTTATTTATACTTTTACTAAGTGGTTCATATCTAAATGTGATTGAAAAACAAACAAACTGTTAGATACCAGATACCAGACTGTTTCAGACAGGGCACTATTAGTGAAGATCTATAGCAAACCACTTGACACAAACCTAGTACAGATGTATGCAACAGCTGCAGAAAGCTCATAAGATTACATTGATGAATTTTACAATCATTTATACATGGCTTTTGATCAGTGCAATAATTTTGAAGTGAAAAAGTATATCGAGTAATTGGCGGCTGTGGCCTAGGAGGAAAGAACGAGAAAGGTGAAAGACTAATAGCTTGAGGAGAGTCACATAACATAATAATTGGTAACAGCTGGTTTAAACACCGCCCTCGTCGATTGTGGACTTGGAATAGTCCTGGCAATAATGTCCGTAATCAGACTGTTTATATATTGATTTCAAAAACATTCAGGAGCAGTTTAATTGAAGCACAGACTAGACCAGGAGCAAATTGGTTTAGTGATCATGTTCCAGTTATAGGAAAGTTTAGAATAAAACTGAAAAATGAGACAGTCATGATTTTTTGGTCATGTTATGAGAAGAGGGAAAATAAAACATGTTGTGAACACCGGAAAGATTTGTGGAAGGAACGACAGAGAAAGTCGGTGCAAGAAAATTCTTGAAAGCCTTTTGTCATGGCATGAAAAAGTGCCAACACACAAACTGATACATGCAGTTGCAGATCACAGATTGTGGAGATCCATGATCACTCTCACCAGTTGGCGAGGCACTCAATGATGATGAAGTGGTTCATGCTCTTTTGTGATTGATTCTGGATATATTTTATGTTTTTCTTGAGTGCGATGACAGTAAGTAAACAATTTTTTTTATTCCACTCATTTATCTGTTTACTTATTAATATTTAAACACTAACACAATTATCTGTTGTAATTCACATACTTCTTTCTATGAGCGCTGATCAATATACTGTCTATTTGTTTATTATATATATAAAATATTTCTACAGCCTCAAGGGTCTATTTATTTATGTGAATTTTGTGTAATACAATCTCTGTATTAAATGTATGTTGTATTCTAGACTCAGCGTCTGATATGTTCGTAATTGTTGTCGTGTTTGTTAATTGACATATCCTTGGTAAATAAATGTTTCTGTAACCTATGGTGCCATTTCAATGGCTTGAGATGAATTTTATCTGTATTCCATAGTTGTGGATATCACGCTATATGACAGACATGGCCAATGAAGACACCTTTTTTAGTTAGTCATGTTCTTAGTACACTTGTTTCTATAGCCAGGGGCACACATCATTTGAAGGCAACAGGTTTGATTCCCTATATACGGTAACTGTAGCTTTCAATTTCTGTGTTGTCTAGTGTGTTCTATATTTCCACTTCTTTCTATAAGTGTTGATCAATACATTGTCTGTTTGTTTATTTTAAATATACATACACACACACACACACATATATATATATAATATATGTGTGTGTGTGTGTGTGTGTGTGTGTGTGTGTGTGTGTGTGTGTGTGTGTGTGTGTGTGTGTGTGTGTGTGTGTGTGTGTGTGTGTGTGTGTGTGTGTGTGTGTGTGTGTGTGTGTGTGTGTGTGTGTGTGTGTGTGTGTGTGTGTGTGTGTGTGTGTGTGTGTGTGTGTGTGTGTGTGTGTGTGTGTGTGTGTGTGTGTGTGTGTGTGTGTGTGTGTGTGTGTGTGTGTGTGTGTGTGTGTTTGTGTGTGTGTGTGTGTGTGTGTGTGTGTGTGTGTGTGATTTGTTGTAGCAGTATTCTAATAATACTCAACAATCCCTGGTCACCTTGGTGTATATGTGTACGAAGCGCGGCAGCTGTTTTATTAATTAATATGGTCTGTGTTAATGTGTTACATTTGCGACATTTAAAAACTGCATTACCACCCCTTGGCCCACTGATGCTACCCCCCCCCCCCCCAAATGATTAAATTAAATATGTGAAGTTATTAGTGACTTAGTACTCACACATTTGGTGACATTTCCATAGATGAGACCTTCTATATACAATCTAGACAGAAGTTGTTTTATAAACAACTGTAAGTTTTCCAGTGTGACATCTGAGGAAAGAAAAAAATATACAATATCTAACAGAACTGATATAATAATAAATAATGCCTTATAATAGTACCCAATGTCATTCACATACTTTCAGGTTGGTACTTAAGGGGAAAGGGGAGGGGGGGGGGGGGGGAGCTGAGTGGTCCCAAAGTATGGTGTCCACCTCAAGCTCTGGAGGTCCCGAGTTCAAGCCCCAGTAAAGGCTGGGATTTTTCAGGTGGACCTTCTAGCAATTTTCCCCTAGTCTGTGGGTAGTAAGATTGGATGCCCGTGTGTATTCTTGCGCATGTAAAAAATCTTCTGCTAGTTGGAAATAAAAAAGAGTAGCTAACGGCGCTGCTCAGGCGAAATTTGAAGTTAAAAATCTACCAAAAGTATTTCAGGATCCTCGCCGGTGCTACAGAGCCTGTGCACTGTGCTGAGATTATTCAGACTTAGGCTTGACACAGAAGTAGAACGGAGCACTTATAGGTTACACCCATGTGCCATGACGCTGATCCGTCGAATAAACATAAACACTAACATCCTTAACTCTACTGCCCCATAAAATGCCGGGATTTCTTGGCACTACAGCTTTGACCAGTCATGGCATTGCTTATATAAGAGCTCTGGTACTGTTTTATTTACTAAACAGAGCACCTGAAGGACTTTTTAGCTGAACGAAAAATAGTTATTATTTTAGATAGTGTGAGGCCATTCGTGCTGCGCGGCTATGTGAAAGAAAAAATAATTATATTTACTAAAGGAGACGAATGCAGTTTGTGTTTAATGATTACTTCTCATCATTACTGCTGTAGCAGTTGAAAAAAAATGTCTAAATCATTTAAACAAATTCTGGTCTCCGAATAATGGTCCTAAATGATCTACGCAGAAAATGAACCCTAACAGAGCCTCAGTCATTTCTAAAATTCGCATTTCTTTTGCGGCGAATCAACCGCGTCAAAAGTAGGATTAACTGTGCACGAAATTTTCGCGAAACGCAACATAATCTTTTTACGAGGATTAAACGGCGGCAAAACTAGGATTAACTACGGATGAAAAATTAGCGAAACGCAAGAATACACCCGATAGGGCTATCCGACGGCAGGGCCTCAGTTATATGTAAGTTGCGGACCACATTAGAATGCATCATTGCTGATCATGTGTTGCCCGGAATGAGAATTGTGACTGACGGTTGGCGAGGCTACAGCAACGTTGGGAAATTAAAACATGGCATTTACGATAGCCGTACCCTGTCCGAATCTTACTTGGTGGAGTTGCAATGGCTGCACAGCCAGAAAGAGCAGATATTCAGTCACTATTTGCAACTTCTGTGCGACAATTTTCACATATAAAGGACTTAATTATCGGTAAGTAGTAGACTTCCTCCTTTTCCTCATACTTTTCGTTCCTTATATTTTCTGAGTTACAACTTTTAAATCTTTGTAGGGCATGACGTAATGAGGCGCTGTTAGGGTTCATTTTCTGCGAAAATAATTTAGGACCGTTATTCGGAGGACTGTCCAAATTCTTTACTGAATTCGCAATATCGCACGCTTGTCTATCTGCTCAGTAGTCACAGATTGGTCCCCCAACATTTTAACATTGGCACAGTATAGTTTTTTAGATAACCATATACATCTGTCTAAAGCAAGAGTAGATGAAATAATGTACTCTAAATCAGTGTTTCCCAACCTTTTGGTGTGCCATGCCCCATCTAAGTCTTTCTAAAATTCTTATGCCTCCCATGTAACTGAAACTCACCCAGAGTCAATTTTCAACCCCCCCCCCCCTTTCCAACAATCAAATTGCCTCTTTGTGGGGCATAGATGGGCGCCTCGTTGGGAAACACTGCTCTAAATGATGCAATAACCTACTGACCATCAAGTGCCTGCAGTAACTCATCCTTGGTCCACAGAACTTCAGAAGTCAGCATGTTGGTGTAAAATATGGCATGCTGGTGTGGCTGTTCGGCCTGGAAGTTCTTCAGGTTCCGTCCATGCTGAAAGACAAAGTGAGAAAGAGAGATATCACTTCATAATTTACTCACTCATAACTCATTCAATTCAAATACAGCAGAAAAATTGGTGTTCATTTTGACAATGGTATGAGCACTGTGTATTCAGAAAGTAATGGTGATATGTTAAACATAAAATTTCGAGTAAAACCACAAAGAGCCAACAAATGCCGGGATATTTGCTGGGATAAACAAATAACTTTAACCCTTTCTCCCAGAGAAGTTGTGAACCCAGCATCTCCACTCACTACAAACCCAACAGAAGCCACTTAAACAGCATTCCTGCACTGGCCAGTCCCAGATAAGCCCAGTTAAGATACTGGGTCTGTTTGCAGCTGTGCAGTGCTTAGGAGGTCCGGATATGAATATATTTACTAAAAAGAGCACTGTAGAGGGAGGGAGTGTGGTATGCAAGTGTGAGTGTCTCTCTGTGTGAGGTGGTATTGTTAACAAAAGGAAAAAAAAATGGATTTTAGCCATGATCATTCTTTCTTTGCCTTGATAATCAGGATTATGGTGTCAGGATATGAGTCACCAGTAAATTCAAAATTTTGTTTAGGCCAAAGAGAAAGAATTGTGTAATTTTCTGCTCCATTCGTTTTTAATTGATTGCTCCCCGTTATTTATTACTAAAGAATTTTTTTTATGTATACAAAATAAAATAAAAAAAATTAATCTATGTAAAACAATAGCTTGTTAAAGGATCTGCCCCCTCTCCAAGTTCATGGTCCTTTTCTCCCAAAGGGTTTCTGGGGAAAAAATGATGAAAACAATGATACTGGGATATCTGCCTAAAATGGGTACCAGGATGTATGTCCTGGGGAAGTAAAGACGGCCGGCGTAATGCTGACCACATTAAACACCTAGTGTACAAAGAGTACAAATGGAACAAGATCCCTCTGACCTCAACGTAACAGAACACAATAAACACCAGGCTATTTATAGAAGAGAAAAACACATGCATCCGGACAAGATGGCAGGAAAGACTGCAGCTCTCAACATGGAGAAAGATGGAAAAAAGCTATGGCATCTAGTAAAGAGTCTCAATGAGGAGAATAATACAAGCCGTGCCCACACTGTCATTGAAGATGGCTGGAAAACTTTCACTGGTAAACAAGCAAACTGTTGGCTGATAGTTTTGCAGAGAAAAGCAAAATCTTCATGTCTAGAGCAAGGGAAGAGGTGACAAGTGAACTGAGGAAAACCAATAAAAAAACTAGAAGATAACCAAGATATAATGAATAAACTCTTTAGTCCCCAAAATTTGAATGCACATTAAGAAACATTAAGAAAATGAAGGCACCTGAACCTGAACGAATAACAAATGAAATGATAGTACAACTGAGACAAAATGGTAGGCAACGACTCTTAGACCTTCTCAGTCAACCCTAGACCCAGGGACTACTTTCAACGGAAAGGAAGGTGGCAGAAATAGTCCCCATAGCCAAGAAAGAAAAGCCCAAGGGAAATAAATTCAGTTACCGCCACATAAGCCTACTAAGTTGCCTTGGAAAGACTATGGAAATATTGCTGAGCAACAGGTTACGTAATTTCCTGGAAGAAAAACAAGATATTGGATGACAGCTGTGACGAGCTGGTTCGCATGCTCCCCACGCATATAGCAAACTAGGCAGGAAACCCGGGCACCAAGTAACTGCACAGGATACTTGGGGCCAGTTGAGTAGACATGGGCAGGCCTAAGCTAGACTCGTGGTCAGTCGCATCAGAGAATTCACAGAAGTCAGTTGTCTTATTAGAAGATGTAGTAGTTTTATTAAAGGAGATAGTTCCAATGTTGTGTGAAGGACTAGTGTCAATAGTCGGTTGGAAGATATGGATGTGTGAACAATCGTCAGCATGTATCATAGAATGTGAAAGAATAAACTGATAGCTGATACAATGGAAACCGAGCGTCATTTGTGTGTTATAATCCCTAGACGGTAGAACAACTGTAAGACCCAGGTAAATACAACAATCTCACAAGTAGAGCTGTAATGGTCACAACTTGATTACAACAGCCAATCAGGCTTCTGGAAATACAGAAACACAGATGGCCAAGCTCTTTTTCTCACACAGGAAATCGAAGATGCTTTCCAGAAAAAATAAGAAAAATACAAATTGTTAGCTACTTTCTTCGACCTGGCTAAAGCCTTTGATAAGGTCTGGAAGAAAGGACTCTTGCTAAAACTAGCAAACAGTGGGATAAAAAGGCATATGTTTGTCTGGATTAGAGACTTCATAGATGCTGCATGAGAGTCAGACTAGAAGAGCACAAGAGCAAGTTGGCCAGGTTATAAGGTGTCCCTCAGGGAGGTGTTATATCTCCTACCCTGCATATTCTTTTCATCAATGACCTCCCAAAACAGTTCACGACTCACATTCACAAGGCCCTACATGCAGATAAACTGGCCATATGGACCCAAGCTGTACATATTGGAACAACTAAAACAAGAATGCAGGAAGCAATAAATACAGTGAATAAATGGACTGACTCCTTTGGAGTCACATTAAACCAGACCAAAACCGTCTTGACTCTCTTCTCACTTCCCACAAAGCTAGATCAACAACCTTCCTAAAGAGGAAAACCCCACACATTTGGGAGTAAAAGGCTAACCTGGGGCCGCCACACTGAAGACACCTAAAGGAAAGCTACCCTCCAGCTCAGACATAAAGAAACTTACTGGAACAAGCTGGGGTGCAGATGCCATTGCTGTATGACAAGCATACGGCCAAAACTGGAGTACGGCATGGAAGCATAAAGGATTTAAGGCCACATGGTTAGTGTAGACACCACGGACTGTGCAGGTTCGGACTGTTTTGTTTGTCCCTGTCAGACAAAAATCTCCAGTCCTCTCTGAGAATTAAACATAGATTTTCTGTTTGGCAGCCAGTGCTTGACCAGCTGCTCCTCCCATGTCACAGAACGGTAAGAATGCAAAACTCTCAGAGTTGTACAAAAATACTTTTCTCTTCAAACTGTACAGGAAATAGTTTATTCCCTTGTGGGTTCCATGTGTGTTGCCAAACAGGCTCTGAAATGGGAAAACTGAGGGATAAAGAAAACATGGACATCTAAGAGAAATCTTCAAGTGAGTGCTGATGACAGAAGCCAAAGGTGTTGGACTGAATTCCATCCATGACATCAAAAAGACAGCACAAGTTAAAACGAAATGGAGAAAAAGACTGAGCCCTACTTGACATATAATGGCACAAGAGGACAATGAATGAATATGGGTTCTAGGGCTCCATAATAAGTAGAAAAAAAAACAAAAAAAACAGACCCACTGCCTATGATGTTTATGTTTATTCAACGGATCAACATCAGGGCACATGAGTCTCACCCATAAGTGCTCCATTCTACTTCTAACTTAAGCCCAAGTCTGAAGAATTTCAGAGCAGTGCATAAACTCTGTTGCACCAGCAAGGATCATGAAATACTTTGCATAGATTTTGAACCCTACATTTTGCCCGGGCAGCGCCGTTATGCTACTCTTTTCGATTTCCAACTGCCAAAGGATTTTTTCTACAAGCGCAACAATACACACGGACGTCTGGTCTGACTACCCACAGACCAGGGAAAATTACCAGAAGTCCACGTGAAAAAATCCCAGCCTTCACTGGGGCTTGAACCCAGGACCTCCAGCACTTGAGGCAGACACTTTACCTTGAGACCACTCAGTCCCATGTCACTGCCCATGATGTAAAAGACAACTAATTAATGATCTGCCAAAATCAAATGTGTTGGGTCCAAAGGCACAGATATTGCAGCCTAGCTGAAAAACCACGAAACAACATGTCAACTGCCTTAAAGGCAAATACAGTAAAAGAATAGTTTATGACATTCTTAAATGTCATTATGTCACTGCTGTGAGACTTAAACAACCAAACTATGACATGGATAACATTAAAAAACTTACAATTTCTTTAAAAATGGCCAATCTTTCAGGGTCAACTTGGAATGATGTCATTTTTTCCACAATTTTCTTGAGAAGAATAGGCAGCTTGTCATTGTACCCTTTGACAGACAGCTAAAATGCCGATAAATAAACACAATTATAAATGTTGATAAATTCACTACTTCAATTCGCAGATCCCTCATCTTCACACACACAAAATTGTCACCCATCCACACATCAAATTAGGATTGAAAAAAGAAGAAGAAGAAGAAGAAAAAGGAGAAGAAGGAGAAGAAGAAGAAGAAGAAGAAGAAGAAGAAGAAGAAGGGAAGAAGAAGAAGAAGAAGGAGGCTTGACAGTTATAAATAATGTGTCAGAGACAGGGCCATCTAAACTCAAGATCCCCCTGGGCACTTGCCTGGGGGCCCCATAAGCGTAGGACCCCATGCTAATCTGTGTATGTCAAGTGACTTGCTATAAATACAAATTGCATCCCTGTAAGTGGCTGTCAGGTCCCAGCACACTAGTTTGCCCACGGACCCATAATGCTGTTAAGATAGCACTGGTCAAAGCAGATGATTAGAAATGAGCCCTTTAAACACAGACAATGCAAGTAAAATAAAGCACCTTTTTATCTATCTTGAGACACATTAAGCAAATAATGCTAGCTCAATACTGTTGTTACACATCAATCGAGACTTGGTGGGTGTTGCAGTCATCTCACACTGGCTGCCTTTACTTTCTAGGACGTCACCCGGTACCAATTTCAGGACTGGTTGACATGGAAGATAAGGCCGATTGGAAAAAAAAAATCTGACCTGGAGATATGATGAATCTATGCCCATCAGATAGACATGCATGCCTGTTAGTCATACCACTGCCTCGGCAATTCTACAGTCTGAATTGACATGTAAAGAAGATCACTTTACAGTCTGCCTGTTCTATCTACTTGATGTTTTAGACGACGGATTAACATAATGGCACAAGGGGTAACCCATAAGTGCTCCGTTCTACTTCTGACTCAAGCCTGAGTCTGAAGAATCTCAGCCCAGTGAGGATCCTGAAATACTTTTGGGTAGATTTTTAACTTCAAATTCTGCCTGGGCAGCACCGTTAGGCTACTCTTTTCAATTTCCATCTGCCAAGGGATCATTTTACATGCGCAACAATACACATGGGGGTCCGATCTTACTACCCAGAGACCAGGGAAAATTACTTATACTAGAAGTCCACGTGAAAAAAATCCCAGCATTCATCAGGGTTTGAAGCTGAGTCCTCCAAGACTCGAAGCGGACACCATGCATCGAGACCAGGCAGCCCCCCCTTAATAATCATAAGGCATGGTAAAACATGACAGCCTATGCTTATCAGCACTGCAAATGATAATACTGATGAGAATGTTATATCAATATAAAATCATATCAAAAGATTAAATAAAATATTCTCCTAAAGCTGGAGTATCCCTGCAAGAAAGACAAGGAACAACATACTGCACAAATAAGCCAGTAAAAGCGATGTACATGCATGCATACTCAGGTCCTGGCAAACAGCCAAAATCCAAAAGGATGCATTGTTGTTGTTGTTGTCGATCCAGCGGAATCATGAGCTTTTACCCTCTGGCCCAACGCCATGTAGTGGAATTTGCATGTTTTGATAAGCTGTTCCTTTCCTCGTACAAGGTGTTCCACTTGTCTGGTCTCGAAACGAGTAGCATTCAGAAATGACCTTGGTTCCCAGGTCGACCCAGCCTTGAGTGGGTACCGGGTGCAGCCCCGGGAAGTAGGGGCAACCGTGATGCTGACCATATAACTCATCTTGTGCCGATTGGTCTATAAAATATAGGTCTAGCCCTATATGCCCAAAGGTGTGGAAAAGGGTCCTTTACTTTACTTACTCTGGAGAGTTTGTGGCTGTATTCTGTTTAGATGTCCAAGTTGAGTATGTTGTGTTCTGAGTCTGAAAATGGTGGCCTGGTCCCTTCTTGCGTTCAAAATGGATGCTAGGCAGGGGCTCTGTTCGAAGCCGAGGCAAATTATTTGCTTTTGCCGGATGGCGGCCAATGCATTTTTGCTCCATTTGTAGACTGGATATAGTTTCGTTGCCCAGCTACTGAGCTGAATGCATGGCGTGACACTGTGAGCTGTGGATTTCATTTGGAATGTTTTTTCGACTGTGACCAACATGATGGTGTGAATTGGAAATGGCGTGATGCTTGTCGTGCAATGTTGGTGGTGCCCGTATGTGATTAAAATTGATCGCATGGGCAACTGCTGATCTGTTGGCGACTTCTGCTACCATCAATGATGAACTGCAATTCTAATGTCGGACTGTTTGTGTTAGCACTTCGGATGGCTACCGTATGCTTTAATGCGAGTGAATGCTAGATATGCTGAGACAGCAGTCTGTCAATCGTTCCACAAGGGACTGTGATAAACATTCTGTGTGTTTTTCGTTGGCACAGGAGCAGAGCATAGATGAGGTGACCCGTTTGCTATGAAGCTGAAAGTAAGACTACCAGACCGTCTTGTTAGATGGGTAATGCTGTCATTAGGATCAGGGCCAGCCATATGTCTATAAACTCTCTTCCAGTGTCTCCCATGGCCCATCTGTTCAGCCAAGTCTCTTTGTTTATAGCTCTTATAAGTGTTTTTGCTGTCTGTAGGGTTGTCGCTGTAGTTGGTTGTTCTTGTGTCCTTTCTTTCCCAGTCTGTCAGCTCTGTCACTACCTGGTGTGCCGGAGTGGCCTAAAAAAAGAATGCATAACTAGGACTTTCTGCTGCAGTTTACAGCTGGTGAACTCAAATCAACCAACCACGACTTTCCAGTGGAGTTCACAGCCGGTGAAAACAAACCAAATAAACAGGACTTTCCAATGAAGTTCACAGCTGGTGAATCCAAACAACAACAACAATAAATAAACAAGCAAAGAGGTTGTAAATGACCTAAAACAAAAGTCAGCTGAAGCCATGTTGCTGGCCACTCACCGAAAGTCCATATAGAGAACTATCCAGGCTATACTTAAGTCCAGCTATCTCTGCCATGTAGGAGTACTCGGTCAGAGCATCATCGAAGAGCTGGGTGAAGATGGCATTCAAGTTGGTGTGTAGGGGATCCATGTATGCTAGTGGGCTGAGCATGAAAACAGTACAGGGAAATTATCACAGGAACAAATGTACAATGAAAACCGCAATACAAGCCTAGTTTAAGGGGAAAAAAAAGAAGAAAAAAGAATAGAAAAAAGTCCTAGGTCTTTTTTACAAGACTTGAGGCATACTGTGCTAGTACTATATAAAAAAAATAAAAAATTAAGTGTTCCACAACTTGCATTATTAATGCATGTGACAGGTGGACATTAAGCAGACAAGCTGAAAAACAAACAAACAGCTATACACAGCCAAGATGTTTATTGAGAACAACACAAAGAATATCACGGATGACAGAAAAACAAATGAGACACGTCTCTTATAGACAGATGAAAACCGTAAAATGATTAAAGGAATTAGGCGAAGGTAGTATTTCTGTGTGTGTGTTTGTACCATGTTTTGAAAAGTAATGGACTAAAAACATGGTTACAATTTGCAAGACTGATGGAAGGGGATGGCAAAGAGATACATACCTTGATGGCTTGGCCATACAAACAAGGTAAGACAAGAACACTGGCCTGATCTACAATTTTGGCGATCGCATCAAAACATGACCACCTATGCTTATCGACATGACTGATGGATGATAATAATATTTTAATTCTAAGGGTGGCACTTGGCAAGTGATGTTATAAATATTATACAAGCTGTCTTAACTTCCCAGAAAATTCTCTGGTTCTCAGTTTGGATCAAACTGGGAGGCCGGGTCAATTCAAACAGTAGACAGGCAGGTAAGCGTGCTAGCCATGGCACCACTACAGCACCTAAGTAAAGTAAAGGACCTTTCCACACCTTTGGCAATTCAGGCATACAGTGACAGAAGCACATGTTTGTAGAGACTGATCAGTACTCAAAGGGCGATGGGGTCAACATCATGCCGGCCACACTTTACTCCAAGCAGATTTGAGCCTCTAGCTCCTAGGCTATAGGGCTCTCAATAATGACTATTTTTACAATTTTGTGAACCCTACAATAATTGATGCAATAGCACTTAACTCTCTTGCCACAGGAACATACACACAACAAAAAGGCCATGACTATGTTGCAATTCAAGAAAAAAATCCTTAAAACAAAACACCATATTTTTGTTTACACAGGTCACTAATAAAATCGTAACAGTTTTATTTATCTAACCCCCCCCCCCCCCCCCCTCCTCCATATATAAACATTTTTGTAATCGATATTAATGAACTGGCTGAAGGTAAAAATAAAAAAAACTATAAGTATCAGGTTACCCAAGCAGTGACCCTGTGACTTATATCACAGAGGTTTACGGCAACTTGGCTTTCAGAATGCTATTTAGCTCAAAGGACCACACCCCCCCAACCACATGCTATTTTTAGTTTATGTATTCATAACCTGACCTAAAATGTTTGCGCAGGCATGAAAACAGCCGACAACTTAATATTTCCTAAATAGGTTACTACAGACAAGTCAGAAAAGTGACATTAACAGTCACTACTAATAACTTTGATCTTCTTCTTCCTTTCATTCGCCGGCTGTAAATACGGGTGGAAAATTACGGTTGTTCATTTACTTTTGGACTTTATAGTCTTGTTCCAGAAGCTGAGTTTTGCATGCACATCTGTTTTACAGATCTGGCTTGTTTGTATGCAGACTGTTGGTTCCTTGTCTCTCAGGCAGATGCACTCGGACTTCAAAAGAAACATCCCTAACTAGTAAATTCTTATGGCATGCTTGTAGGGGTCAGTGGGTCTATATCCCCCCCCCCCCCCCCCCAATGCGTCACCGGTACATGGGGGCACCGCACCATAAGTGAAAAGGTTCCATAGCCATAAAACAGATAAGGGAAACATTTTGATAGGAGGTCACGCAAATAAAGGTCTGGATTGAACAATCCTGTGATTGAAGTGGACTGGCTTATTTTCCCAAGCCTTACCTGGCAAAGTCAAAGTTGATGCAAGCTTTTGGCTTCAGGAACTTGTCATCTTGTTTGAACCACAACCTACACAGTTCTGTGTTCTGTTGAGATGAAGAACATGGAATCACAACATAAACACTTCTGTGTGCTGTTCAGATAAAGAACATGGAATCAAAGCTTACACAGTTCTGTGTTCTGCTGACATAAAGAACGTGGAATCAAAACTCACACAGTTCTGAGTTCTGTTGACATAAAAAACATGGAGTCACAAGTCACAGTTATGCGTTTTTTTTTAGATAAATAACACGGCATCACAACTCACACAGTTATGTGTTCTGTTGAGATAAATAACACGGCATCACAACTCACACAGTTCTGTGTTCTGTTGAGATAATTAACATGGCATCACAACTCACACAGTTCTGTTGAGATAACATGGCATCACCACTCACACAGTTCTGTGTTCTGTTGAGATAAAGAATTCAAGGACGCATCAATAATACACATTCTACAAGCGAAAAGGGAATTACCAGGATTGTAACAATCACCGTGGCACATTCCTGCTATCAATCACAGCAAAAATATTTGCAAGAAAACTTCTAAATCGCCCTACGACACATGATACTTTTTATAAACTGAAAAACAAGCTGTAAAACAAACCCAGGACCTTCAGATGAGAGACAAACGGACTGACCACTTCACCATGGAAACCTTTACACAGCTCTGTGCTCATCAATGATAATTTAAAACCAGTCCACACATTTCTGTATTCACAAGAAGTGAAGTAAAACTATACTAGGAGGGTTGCTGAAGGGTTAGGAGATAAAACTTATAATCTTGCTTATTATACCTCAAATAGGTTTTGAAAAAAAAAAAAAGAACAACACCACTGCCAAAGAGACGGAACCATAATGTTTGTGTTGAGTACATAAATAATTTAGAAAACATATATGCTCTGAAAATGTAAACAGCATACAAGAAAAACTATTTTTCTAAATTCTGGACTTGCAAACACTTCTGAAGCAGAAAAGCTTATAAAGTATCCAATGGCAGCAGAATGCAGTTTCTGAGGAAAATGTAAACAATATAACTGACAAATAGAAAATCGAATGATGCCGTACTCCAAGAAGGGACACAAATATGGAAATCATAAATAATTAAATAAACTGACACAGAAAGGCAAGGTTTTTCAGACATGTTAGGAGGAGAAATAAACTTGAAAACCTAAAGACAAAAGACAATTGTGACGGAAAAAGACCAAAGGAAATAGTAAGGGGAAAAAAACCCACAAAGAATACTTGAATGGCTAGGCCAAGTCAAAACAATTATGTTGACCTGATCTAAAACTATGTGAAATGCTCAATTGTATCAGTCCATGTTTGTCAACATGGTATGTGATGGTGATGAAACAATGTGAAATACAAACATTTAGGAAAACAAATCTGAGCATCTGTTAACCAGACTAGATTTCCATATTTAAGCAGTGCAGAAAAAGTTACTGAGATTGAAAAGGGGGGGGGGGGGGGGGGGGGGGGGGGGGGGGGGGGGGGGAGGGGGGAGGGGGGGGGGGGGGGTGGGGGGGGGGGGGTGGGGGGGGGGGGGGGGGGGGCGGGGGGGTGGGGGGGGGGCAAGTACCATTTGTATTCATGAATAAACAAACAAAACTTGAAATTTACAAACATAACTCACCTTGATCACATCTGGTAAAGGCGAAGTCTGAAATGACAGAACAGATAAAAATGTTAAACATGAAACCTTTCAGAATATGTGTTGGCAGGCATCTTTTCAATTTTCTAGATGACAGTATTTTAATAGTATTTATAGCATTTTTATTATAGGGCCCATCAGCATGGTGAGTCGAGTGTGACTAGCAAGAGCCATTTGCATTAAGAAAAGTCTTACACAATTAGCACAATGGCTTTCTGGACCAATGTTGACTTTGTCAACTGAGACGAGAGGGAGAATTCTTAAAAGCTATACAAATCTTATCTTGGTGTACAGAAGTGAATCATGGACAGTTGTTAAGTTAGTAAAAACCTTTTTGGAAGCTGCAGAGATTTGGTTTTATAGACGAATGATGAGAATACCCTAGACAGATTCAAAAGAGTAATGAAGACGTCTTGAAAGAAACTGACTCACAATAAAACCGATTGCTCGCATCAGAAAGAGACAATCTACATTCTTTGGTCATGTAATGAGAAGGGGTACTGGAGTACCTCGTGACAGTAGGAAAGTTGGCCGGGAGGAGAGGCAGAGGAGGACCAAGACAAAAGAGACTGGACAGTCTGACATCATGGCATAGAAGATCATCTGTATCAGAGTTGACTAAAAATTCAAGAGACAGAAGGCTGTGGACAGACATGACAACTAACGCCACATGGCATGGACTTTAGGAAGTTGCTACAGCAAGTATGCTTCTTTTCAGATGCTCGGCTCTTAATATATCCGCAATCATTTTATCTTTTATCAAAATTGCCTTCCTGATTCCCCTTCTCTGTGAAGTCTATGGCATCATGTTCATATAAAACTACCTCAATACCTGTATCATTCATGTCAGTCACACACACCTGTGATTTTCTGAGTTATATCCTCCGTGCGGAAAATCCAGAATTAACCAATTAGCTGAAGCAATAAAACAATGAGACATCATCGCTACATAAACTTGCAGACTCAAAGGATCATTTCCTGTTGACAGTAACAAATGTATTCACATCTATCTTCTTGTTTTATTTCGTTATCCCTGCTAGCTGTTTTCAAATAACACCACAGGGGTATTAGAAGGTTGTGGTGCAAAACATGTCATCCACTTATCCAAACAGCTTTATTTTGAACTCAGTGTGAACTGAACACATGATAATTCAAATGGAATGTCAATTGGTCTGAGCTGGGAACTACTACATGCACAGAATATGTCTGCAGAAAGTCTAGAATTTCTTGCACATGTTGCTGCAGAGTCTGTTATGTCCAGATATTTCAATCTGCTAGTGTTTTATATCTTTCATTAACAACTCTTTTCATTCCCAGCCTCTTTTTCATCTGGATTACATTGACAGACAAAGAATAAAATGGTTAAGTCATCTAGTGAGAATGCAGCCAGACCAAACTGCTTGTAAGACTTTTTTACAGCAGAACATCTGGGAGGAAGGTGAGGGGAAGACCAAGAAAGAGAAGGATGAACAGTGTAGCTGAGACCTGTAAACAAGATGAACAAATCCATCATCAAGCCACCTGAGAAGCGCAAGACAAATACAGACAACCATGACACTAGGCTACAACCTGGTATCAGTGAGATGACAAAACGACGACACAGGGCTACAACCTGGTATCAGTAAGATGACAAAACGACGACACTGGGCTACAACCTAGTATCAGTTGTTGGTTAGTTGTGTATCCTTTACAGGACGTTGCAGAACCAACCCTAATAGCTCCTGGCTGTTGTGTGGTTTTTCTAGGCAAATTTATGTCCAGTAGTTTGCCATTGCTTTCTGGATGGTCGGCTTTCTTGATACCACTGTCAAAACTAATGTAAGGCGCATGGCCCGCAGCTGGGATCGAACCCAGCATTACGAAGCGTTCGCATCGACTTAGCCAGAGAGCCAACCTGGTATCAGTGAGATGACAAAATGACGACACTGGACTACAACCTGGTATCAGTGAGACAACAAAACCATGACACTAGGCTACACCCTGGTATCAGTGAGACAACAAAACCACAACAGTGTGCGACAACCTGGTATCAGTGAGACCACAAAAGAAGAAGAAAGATTTCCATAGACACTATCATCAGTGATTTTATGTTACCTATTTCTCACAGATATCTGAATACCAACCCCACAGGTTAAAATCTTAGATTCTACAGTCAAATAAAGTAGAAATGAAAACCTCCATGAGCAAATTAGGTGTCACATTTTTGGGACGAAAAAAATAAGAAGACCCCCCTGCACTCCTAAAAAGCACATCATAAAAAGTGACGGTTCTTTATTAACATCCTACACCAGACGATCTCACATGATAGTCCAACATTTTAGAGGGTGGTAAGACTGTTTACCTGCTTTTTGATGCTTTTAAAGACCCCAAAACATCTAGAACTGGCCCTAACCCCAAACCACCTATATCCCACAAGAGAGTGCAGCCTAGGTCCCACGACTGCATGCAGCGTATCTACCATCCTCTGAAATATTAGACTGTCCCATGCCCTGTGGATTTTCCCTGTTTGTGGTAGGATATTAATCAAGCACAAAAGTGATATTAATAAAGCACCAAAGTGACTAGCTGGGGTTTTGCTGAAAGTTGATGTTTTGGACCAAAAAGTGCCAACTACCTTTCTTTGGGAGAACACAGAAGATGAAGAAACAAAAACAACCACTCAGGGAACCTACCTCACATTCCCGTGCAACCAGCTCAAAGTTGGTAGGAATAAACTCATTCTTTGCAGGAAGGCGAAGGTTTTGGTTCAGTTGGCATTTGGACCACTTCTGTACAAGTCAAAGCATAAAGCAATCACCTCATCAGTTACATAAAACATGCATAAGTGAAAGATATTTAATTATTAATACAATATTTTAAATTAGAAAAAACACATTCTTCAGTAAGAGAACACAATTAACATAAATACTTATGTTTAAAAAAAAGTTTGTTGCATATCTTTTACAGAACGTTGCAGAGCCAACCTCTGTATTTATTGGCTGTTGTGGTTTTTCTTGGCACATTGTACTAGTCGGCTATTGCTTCCTGAACGGTCAGCTCTTGGTACCACTGTTGAACCCAGCGCAAGACAAATTGTCTGTGGCAGGGATCGAAACCAGCACCCCGGCATAAGGATCCTCGTCAGGGGTATACTACAGTTAATAACAGTTAAAAAACAACAGTTAACAAATAATGCAGTCTGTGTCTTCTTTGTTCAAATTTTCAACAGGGAAATATTGCTTTGAATATCTTTATAAATTTAGGTCTCTGGGAATGTATTCCATTTAATGCTTTACTTAGTATGCGTTTACTGATAACTACCGTTATAAAGCTTTATACTTATTGAATTAATTCATTTAAAAAAAAAACAATAACAACAAACAATAAAAAAAGTAAATAAATGTTTTACATTTATTAGTGACCCGTATAAACAATTTATTTTTACGGGGATTCCCAAAGGTTAATTACCCATTTGTTAGCGCTCTCCAGGCAACAGAGTTAAGCTAGGAGGTAGAGGCCCTGAGTGCTTCCCTAGATGCAGTAATAACAAGATCTTCAATGATAAACACAGAGGTTTGAAAATAATGTCAATGACCTTAATCTGATCTTCTGTAAACTTGGAGACCTTGTACTGTGTTCCGTACCACTTTTCTGTTTTGTCAGTCTGCCCTTCAAACTTCTTGGAAACCACAGTGACCCTATTAGAAAAAACGCAAGGCAGAAATAGGTAGATTTTAAAATAAATACAACATAAATTATATCTTACATTTGCAGACACATTAAGTGCATTTTGCAATGGCATGCATGATAAAGTATAACAGTATACAGAAAGTATATTTAACAACAATACATAAAGAAGTATATTTTAAAGTACACATAATACAGTACATTTCACTCCAGAATAAACAGCGTCCCAATTTATTATAAAACATCCTAGTTAATTCAGCACAAAAAAGTTAAGGTTAAAATATAATAAAGTATAGTTTATAACACATATAAAACAGATGCTAGACTACTGTAGCTGTGCAAACCACATGTTTTGAAATCAGATAACAGGATGCTACAAAGCAAAAAACCATGAATTAGATTTAAATAATGTGGACGCAATATTTTGACAATTTATTGTCTGGCATACTTCACTGTTTCTCATCAGATGTATTATTACAGAGTTCCAACAACATATAATGAAACACAAAAATCTGAATTATTTCCACTGAAATACACAAATCACATTGTCTGTCTCTATACACTGTTCTTCTAATGGCTGGAAATTCATAAAATAGACAACTTAAATTGCTCTGAGTGAGGAAGGCAAGACATCTAGGTATCGAATGACTATAGCTATCAAATTCTTTCCATCTCATACAACTGGGGACTAAAAATTCAGCAACAGAGGGTAATTCAGGCAATAAGAAGGTGCTTGATGATTTGCTCCAGGACCAAGCAGTCGTGGGACGTAGGCTGCACTCTCTCGTAGGACATAGGGTGTGGCATGCGGGTTTGGGTTATGGCCAGTTCTGCAAGTTTTGGAACCATTAAAAGCGCTCTCATCATGGAATATAGAGCACGCGATCTCGCTCGCCGCTGACTAAGAAATAGACTAAATATAAATACCGACAACAACAATCCTGAAAAACCGTGCCATATTTGTGGAAGATGCGAGCGGGTGTTGCTAGTCACACTCAAAATCACCATGGGCTGTGAGTCTCATGCCTTCTTAAAGCACAACATAACACTATCGCCTGGAAAGATGAAAAGGTAACATGTGTTGTAGTGCTGGTTTAAAGTGTGATGAACCTAATGTACGACAGAAACTTGTAAATAATGACAAGCATAAATAAACAGTCTGACCTCATGTTGTTAGGGACAAGCTTGTCAAGGATCAGGTTGATGAGATCGGGTCGGAATTCATCAAACAATGAGTAGACACTCAGAGTATCAGCCACGGGGTAATCCTGTACAACAAATAGATCTTGATTAACTTCTAACAAGGCTACTAACACAACCGCTATTTGTATTACTGTTGCTCCTGCTAACACTACTGCTACTTCTACTGCAGCTACAATTGTTACACGATCCTTGAATACAAGACTGGACTGGCCCCACAAGAAGACGTCATGTGCAATGACATTTAACTATTATAGTTTAACTACAGCACTATCACTACTACCAGGTAATTACTTGTGCGGTCATTGTTATATTATAGGTGTCTAGATTAACGGATTTCTGTCCATTTTCTTGGACGATGAATGACTTAAGCCTGCTCAAAGCATGAGCTTATTTTGGCAGCCCCACTACTTTCTGTGGTTAGTACACATATATATTGTGCATTGCCATCAGCCTTATGTTACTTGACCCCCCCATCACTCCCCCCACCATGAACCCCTTTTCCCCCACGCCTTCAGGCATATTGGGCACATAGTGCTAGACCTGACCTATATTTTAATAGACAAATTGGTACTTGGTAGGGCATGTGGTTAACATCACACAGGCTGCCTTTATTTCCCAGGACTTCACCTAGTATCCAATTAAGGTGGCCGACATTGGAGCCCAAAGTCATTACAGGGATCCAAACATGTAATTATTTCTACCGCTATACTACTATTAATACTGCTGATGTACTGTTATGACAGATGCTGCTACTATTACTACTACTTCTACTACAGCTAATAATTGTGCCACTATCCTCACTGCTGTCTCCATTACCATTTTTTCTTTTCTGTCTTTCTACTCTCTCTTTGAACTCGTGCATATTAATTTTGTGAGAAAGTACGATGATCGTTTGAGGATTCAGGTATTACCTCAAAGTGGTGCAGACACTTTTGTCAATTCCTTTACCCATCCTTTCTGCAGTGAGAACTTTGTTTTTGTACTGTTATATTACTGGTACATAGGTTCCTTACTCTAAGAGAAGCAGCTTCTGTTAAAATTCTTATTACTTCTCCATCTCCGTCGCCCCTAAAAGGGCGGTTGGCAGGTGGTGTTATGGTTTACAGCTAGGCTGTTTCTGGTTACATGACTAAACATGCAGTCTGTTATTTGAATTAGTTGTTTAATGAAAGAGAAACATGTGTTTATATGACATTTAATGAAAGAGAAACATGTGTTTATATGACATTTCAATATTAACAATCTTCACATCTATCTATGCAATGTATACACAAAATTATACACACCTGTAGTCTGCCAGATAAGGCGCTGGTGTAAGACTTCGGAGACTCTTTGTCTTTGAAGTTAAAAGACATGGCTGCAAGGTCCTGAAATAGTACGAACAAGGATGTTACTATGTCAGTAATTCTGCAGAGACTACAAATGCTGCATTATGCAATAGTTACAAAGAGACAGACAGTAATGAGCTGTAAGGATTTATGAGTACTGAGAGACAACAATGTTCTGTGACGATTACTTATGGGTGACAGATTATAAAGATCATCAATTATTATTCACTGTTACAAATTACAATGATCTGTAAAGTTTATTCATGGATTGGATTGGCTTTCTACCCCACCAGGACATCACACAAGCGATAAACACCCGATGACACAAAATGCCACCATGCGGATGAGAATCACCGTGGAGAGGTCCCAGAAACCGCATTCAGACATTTGGCCATAATGATGACCTGCCTATATTGCGGCCCCTGGCAAAAGCCAGAGTGGGGCTTCAAATAACAAAAAATTACGTCCTAACAAGGACGTGAAAAGAATCTTATTCATGGAAAATAATACAACAATAACTATGGTCTGGAAGGCAAAGAAATAGCAGATCAATAAATCAGAATCAGCCGCGATGTGGTACAAGCAAAGTGTTAAATAACCCACCAGGAGGCTGAGACTTGAATAGAAACTAGTATCCAAGAAAAGTAGCTAAATACCTACACTAAATTTTCTTCCTAAGGTTAGATTCAAATCTACAGAGGTACAGGATGTGATATTCAGACTTAAGACAGGGGCATAGCACACTTCATCAACATATGTTGAAGTCTTTTGGGATAGAAAACAGAGATGTGTCTACAACTTGGCACCCAAAGCATGTACTCCGACACTGTAAAGTGTACAGTGCTAACAGAAAAGCCATCTGAATTGTTCCTACCTCAGGATAAAGCTGTTAGGTAAATAGGAAGATTTGGATGGCCTGATAGCTTTTGTCAAGACTACTGGCCTCTTAATGTTTACTGACAGATTGATGAAAGAAGGAGAAGAAGAAGAAGAGGAGAAGACACAATGATCTGTAAAGATTATCCTAAAAAAGCTCTTACAAATCTGTATGGAGATATAACATCAATAAAGTCTGTACTTTAATCTGGATTAGACACACACAAAAAATATAAGAAATGCCTGCATCAGTTGTTTACAAAAAAACAGAGTATCTCCGTGTCCACTTACCCAAGACTGGTAGCAGACAATGTTTTGGTAAATACCTCACACTGAGAGCCACGGTTACACAATGGCTAGTGCACTTAAAAAGTTCTGAAACTGTATTTTCCACAATGCTCGCAAGGTCCTCTTCACACACGTAGAAAATACTTCTCCACTCATCCATGGTGTCTGCAGTTCTTCTACTCAAGATTTCTGAGCAAAACTTGCTTTACAAGCTTCATGTGGAGCTGTCTTTACACTAACGTCTAATCTGTCCTTACATTACCGTCTAATCTGTCCTTACATTAACGTCTAATCTGTCCTTATACTAATGTCTAATCTGTCTTTACACTAACGTCTAATCTGTCCTTACACTCACGTCTAATCTGTCCTTACACTAACGTCTAATCTGTCCTCACACTAACGTCTAATCTGTCCTCACACTAATGTCTAATCTGTCCTTACATTAATGTCTAATCTGTCCTTACACTAACGTCTAATCTGTCTTTACACTCACGTCTAATCTGTCCTTACACTAATGTCTAATCTGTCCTTACACTAACGTCTAATCTGTCCTTACACTAACGTCTAACAGGTAACAGAAATATTATTATGTGCTCTTGCTCACTGTGACCTCTGGCAACTTAAATCGTAGTGGGAGTGGCCAAAAGTATTTATCTCCATCCAGAGGTGATGTTTTGAACACCCCTCAAGGCCGGATTCTTTTTCCCAATGACCTCAGTTTTTAGGATGACCGAGTTTAAGAACAGCAGGGAGGCAGAGGTACTGGACCACACCCGGTTCCGCACCTGGACCAGGGCACAAATTAGTGAAGATCTATCTACAGCTCTCCCCGGCCATCACAGAAACAGGTTCTCAGTTGGAAGCCTGGTCAAAATCTATCTACAGCTCTCCCCGGCCATCATAGAAACAGGTTCTCAGTTGGAAGCCTGATCAAAATCTTATCTACAGCTCTCTCTGGCCATCATAGAAACAAGTTCTCAGTTGGAAGCCTGGTCAAGATCTATCTACAGCTCTCCCTGGCCATCATAGAAACAGGTTCTCAGTTGGAAGCCTGGTCAAGATCTATCTACAGCTCTCCCTGGCCATCATAGAAACAAGGTTCTCAGTTGGAAGCCTGGTCAAAATCTATCTACAGCTCTCCCCGGCCATCACAGAAACAGGTTCTCAGTTGGAAGCCTGATCAAAATCTTATCTACAGCTCTCTGGCCATCATAGAAACAAGGCTCTCAGTCGGAAGCCTGGTCAACATAGATAGGATCAACACTTCCTTCAAAGTTGGAGTGCATCTCCCTGAGAGGTAAGGAACCAACAGTCTTACACAAAAAGGCCACAAATGTAAAATGGATGTGTATGCAACTCTCAAGTTCTGGAACAAGACCAAAGTCCAGCAGTAGATGAACAACCAGGACTATCCTCTGAAGTTTTCATCTAGTGAACGCAAGGAAGAACAATAACAACATGAAATTTTCTGGGAAGTAAAGGGGACTGGTATGACTCTAACCACAACACCTGTCGAGTGTCAAAAGGTGTACACAAATATTGGGACAGCACCATATACCCAACTACACCAAGTTGATGCAAAATGTAGTTCACTGTTACAAAAGGATTTATCATAAGGATCAGAGATGTAGAGAAATCTGTCCAAACATACATGATGACAGCAAGCACTGGAGTTTAGCTTACCTGGCACTCTTTGAATATCCACTCCTGTGGCCCCTCTTGCCTCAGCATGTTGATGTACTGATAGATCAAAGCTATGATTTCATCAACATTTTCTGTAGAATACAGCAACAATCATGTGAGCTACCATCAGATCCTATGAACAGCACCACTGTTTTACTACTGCTGTGTTTCTTCATTACTCTAAGTGAAATTCATCATCTGTTTAAATCACCTTCTGAGAAGAAATGCTATAGAAAGATTCTCAGAATATCTTGGACAAAGAAGAAGAGAAAAACTGACATCTTGAAAGATCTTAACATCAAGGAAGATTGGCTAATAAACAGCATCCTGTCTCGGAAGTTGAAATATTTTGGTCATATCAAGCGCTACGACGGATTGGAAAAAATTATAGCAGAAGACATGGTACCAGGAAGGAGAGGCAGGGGCCGACTGACACGAAGATGGGCACAGGATATAAGTGACTCCTTGAGTATGAAAGTACATGAGGTGGGAGAACTGGCGAGAGACCGAGTTTCTTTCAGGTAGACTGATGAGAGCGACGTTCTGCAAAGGACCTGCTACATGATGATGATGATGTTTAAATCACTACTGATCACTGGCATGGGGGCTGATAGATGGACATGGCTCAGGCAAAGAGAGAGAATAATAGTTGACAGAAAGACAAAATCTGTTGATAAGGGAGTTGAATGGCTGCAGACCATCAGACAAACCACCAAGAAGTTGCGGAGAGATAATATCCAGGCAGACCTACAATCACGTGGAATCATCAACTGATAATATCTACAGCCATGCACCTGAAGGGCTTGGCACACTGAAGAAGTTATTTTATTATATGAAGTAGATAAAGGACATGCAGTAAACACTGTAAAGAATACATTCAAAAATGAGCACGCTGGCCTGCAATGAATTAACAATCTTTAACTTCTATTCTGCTTCTTCCTCTGCCCTTATGGCTCCATAAAGAATAAATCTATACCCATTTCATATCAATTTCTACTCTTTTCTGTCATCTCCTTTAAATCCATCATGTCTATGCCATTTTATTTTATCATCAACACGTGAATTGTTAGAAGGCGTAGGCACTAATGCCTTCACAGTTCTCAGTCTTTGATGTTGTGAGCAGATCAGCTCAGTTCAATTAGTTCTATTGATGATATTCCCCATGCCACTCTCTTAGACTTTATCTTCTTCTTTTGGTCTACACTGTGTGACGGTCATCATATCTATCGACAACCTTCGATCAATTCTGTCACAGATGATCTTCCATGCCATGATGTCAAACTGCCTAACAGCTTTTTTCTTAGTCTCCTTCTGCCACTTTTCCCGCTCCTACTTTCCACCCTAATGGTGTATTCCACCAGTTTTCTCCTTTTAATGAAATGACCACTTATCAGAACTATTTTTTTGGGGCGAACCCTATGCTCTCAGTGCCAAACGTGGACACTTACATCCTCCAATGAACGTAAAATTGTTTCAACAGAGATGAAATGCCTTAGAAGAGTTGCAGGAGTTTCAAGGGAAGACAGAATATGAAATCACGAAAATCAGACGAATGCTAGGAATAAAGCCAGTCTTACAAGTCATCAGAGAATAACAAATGAAGTGGTCTGGACACCTAACAAGAATGCCCTGGTACGATCTGCCACACCGAGCCACACTAAAATGTTACAACGGGTATAGAGCAAGTGGAATACCTTGGAAAATGTGGAGTGATGGCATGGAGAACAGCCTTACAGAAATGAACATCAGTCTCAATAGTGCTCTTGACAGAGCTCATAAATGAATGTTACATCTCCCCCCGACACTTCGCTGAGTTACAAGGTGGAAGAGAAGCAGCAGAATGAAATGACCAAAGAAGATAAATTGTCTCCTTATCTGACACCAGGATTTTTAAACTTAGTTTACGCGGGGGCTAACGGTTTGGAAATGTGAATCATGATGGGTTAGAGGACTGAGCCCCAGCATACAAAGATCATTAAAATAACAAAACTGGCAATGATCCGTAGGCTACTTTCTAGGCTTCCGCAGGCCAGATTTGGTCCATGGGCTGCCAGATGAACAGGTATATCTTAGACTATCTATAATTATTTCTATTGGTATGCCTCTGCTACTGCTGAGCTCTCTCCAGTTATGAGGATGTTTTTCCCACGCCTCTCTTCTCGTCATTGGAGCAAAGAACAAGGTTTTTATTAAAGATCGTATAATACTCTACTTTCATTAGCTTTTCACAGGCAATCAATGAAGGCTATTCAAGATGTTAAAAACATTTAACAGAAACCATATCTGGGTTGTCTCCTAGCTCTTCCAATTCCACATTATTTATCTGTTGACAGTTTTATTCAGCATGTCTTTTGCTGGAGTGATCTCATTTACATTGGTATCTCAATAATGTTCACTCTTCAACAATGCACAAATTACTGAAAATATTTTCAATAAGATTAGCCAATGACCATCCTCTATCTTTACTATTTTAATGTCTTTCAATGACCACTATCCTCACTATTTTAGTTTTTTGTCATCCCAGGAAAATTCTGCACATCTTTTCAAGAGAAGAGACTGGCCCGGCTCCACAGCATGCTTTGTTGAAAAAAATACACTGGGAGTGTGTAGAGGAGTGTCTGAAAATGCTGAATGTAAGATGGGCCTGCATGCCCAATTTGTGAGCCTTTAAAATGAAGTTCACTTGTATGTTCAAGACATCTTTGCTCTTTATTTGTCGGCTTTCTCATTAATTTATGTTCAAAACCACATCTCTAAAACCTTCACATAATCTCTTTAAAAATAATCAATCTGCGACTGTCCATGATTAGTGTGAACATTATGTGCATTACCTTGACCCTTGTCTGTAAGATCCACTGCTACAGAGAAGAAGGAAAACCCTTTGGCCCCTGATCTTTGACCTCCAACCAAAGTGTTAGCCCATCCTGGACCACAAAAGAAAAAATATATTAGTACTTGTCTGATGTGACGACCTAGTTATATTTATATAATTTCAGATGCAGCAATTCCCTGTGTGGGTTTTGGGGGAAAACAGAACAGACCCACTGTACCTGACATATGGGTTGTAAATGGCAATTTATTAAGGGTTCCTGAAACTGGATGTGTTGTGAGCTGCAGACCACAGCACAAAGTGCCAGCTGTCTTTGTAAGGACAATGCAGAAGAAGATACAGTATAACATCTCCTACACAAAAGATGGTGTCCATGTAGACATTAACTTGTTTATAGAAATGACAGTATATATTTAAAGTTCTCTGAACACGCAATGAGAAGAGAAGCATTGGAGAATATCGTGAGAACTGGAAAGATCAGTGGAAAGAGGTGTAGAGGCAGACTAAGAGAGATGATGCTGGATAGGCTGAAACGATGGCATGGAGGGATATCATCAAGAGAGCTGTTCCAGGCAACCAGAGATCATGATCTTTGGAGATGCATGAGCGCCTACGCCAGTTGGCAGGGCACATGATGATGATGATGACATATATAAATATTAAACTCCATCAAAAAAAAAGAAGCTTTGTCTGACAGCATCAATGCAGACATAAATTTGTTTATATAAATGACAGTATATATGTAAATGTAAACTCCATCCTACTGTTAGCTCCCCAGTTATCACAATGTGGTCCAATGCCTTTCTAGAACAGAGATACAGTGTGCAGTTTTGAGAAAAATGAGGCAGAGGACAACATCCGCTTTGGCTATGAAAGCATATAGGAGTGGAGATCCCAGCTAAGGGCCTTGTGCTCGTTTTGACAGTGGTATTGAGAAGCTGACCATCCAGAAAGCAATGGCAAACCACTGGACGTAAACTTGCCTAGGAAAACCACAACAGCCAAAAAATGCTGGGGTTGGTTTTGCAACGTCATGTATAGGATACGCAACTAACAACAATACACATTCTGCAGTGTAAACGCCTATGTTTAAGTTTAAATGACATGGGTTTGACTAAACATACCAATGTAAACAAAATGTGTGAAATCACCAATGAGAGAATGTCTTCAGTTGAACAACTTACCCCTGGTTTTAAGCTCAGATAGTAAACTTCCAGATCCTTCATGACCTAGCAGATGACCTAAATAATGCCCTGGCTGGAAGGAGAAGGGAGAAGAAAAGTTAAGTATTAATTCTAAACCTTGCACAGACTTCACAAAGGCAATGTCAACATACTATGAGAACAACTAAAACATATAATGAAAGAGAAGATTTACAGACAAAGATGCACAGAAAGGCGGAGACAAATAAGTAGCTGAATCATATAGCTAGATTAAGGGCAAGCTGCTTTTTAAGGGATTTACAAGGAATCAAGGGTCCCTACGAGCCCTGGATGAAGTAATGGTGCGAAAAGGGCCTTTACGTTTAATTACTAACATGAAACTTTGTTCTTGGCATCTTTTGGGACTTCATAACCATTGCTGCTATCACACATATTTGGTGTGCTTTTTCTCAGATGCTCGGCTCTCATTCTTTCTGGATTCACTTTTTTTGCATTCATTCTTATTCCCTTCCTGATACCTGCATCATTTTGTTTACTAGCAACCATCTTCTGCCCATCTGTAATTGACCATGGAGAATGTCCTTAGGGACTCTACCATTCTCCATGTGTGACCCCTGCTATCTGAGCTGTTGGAGACTGAGCATTGAGAAAATTGTTGTAATATCTGCTCTTTCCAAAACTTCAGTCTTTGTGACCTTATCACTTAATGCCAAGTATTCTTCTTAGACACTGCATGTAAATGCTATCTAGTCTTTCTCCTGGTCCAAATAAGTCACACAAGTTTCACTGTCGTGAAGAAGAGAACATAAGAATGATCAACAAGTGTTTTTTTTTTTAATCATCAGCTTTCTGTCCTCCCAAACTCTGATTTGTCTAAGTCAAACTGCTCATTGCTTTTTCAACAGGAACAATATAAAACTAGTCACATGGTAAAACATAAGGTAATATCTGCTGATCTAGCTAAGACAAACATGGTGGTATTTTAGTTACCTCAGGGACTTCTACTTACATTTGCCTTATAGTGTTCACTGACGTCAGGTGTAGGCCACATGACTGACATTTCCCTGATGTCCTTCACTGGGACCACATTAACCACACACTGTAATGTACAATGGAAACATGGAACAGTGGGTTTGTGGAATCAGCAAGACTGGTGTCAAAACATGAAGTCTGTGACATGAACAAGATTTTTTTTAATACAAGAAAACATTGCAGTTAACATGAACAGTGTGATATCTCTTCTTTTTCTTAGCGTTCACAGCTGTAAACTGGTGGAAAGTTCTGGTCATTCATCCATTTCTGGATTTTGGTCTTGTTGTATGACTTGAGGTTCATGTGTACCTCTGTTTTACAGACCTGGCTTATCTGCATGCAGACTGCCAGTTCCCCGCCTCTCAGGCAGACCATCAATGACTTAAAAGGAAACTTTCCTAAATAGTCGGAATTGATGAGAAATGGTTTTTAGAGAGGCAGATGGGTCGAACCCACCACCACCTAAATGGGGAGTGTGATATTTGAAATTATCACAATAAACAAGATATATGATTATAGATATTATTGTAATAAACAAAATGGTTATCATACAAGAAGAGTATAATACAAGGAGAGACCTAACAGATGACCTAAATAATGCCCTGGCTGGAAGCAGAAAGGAGAAGATACAAGAAGTTATATTAATGAACAAAATCAGCATCATACAGTAACTTAATGTAATGAACAAGATCAGTATGATACAAGAAATTGTGGTAATAAACAAGATGAGTATCATTCAAGAGTTTATGGTAATGAACAAGATGAGTTGACACAATATGATCCAATTATGATGCTTGAAACTACTGTAAAGAACAAGATGGGAATGATTCAACAGGAAGATGAGTATCATTCAAGAGTCTATGGTAATGAACAAGATGAGTTGACACAATATGATGCTTGAAACTACTGTAAAGAACAAGATGGGAATGATTCAACAGGAAGATGAGTATCATTCAAGAGTCTATGGTAATGAACAAGATGAGTTGACACAATATGATGCTTGAAACTACTGTAAAGAACAAGATGGGAATGATTCAACAGGAAGATGAGTATCATTCAAGAGTCTATGGTAATGAACAAGATGAGTTGACACAATATGATGCTTGAAACTACTGTAAAGAACAAGATGGGAATGATTCAACAGGAAGATGAGTATCATTCAAGAGTCTATGGTAATGAACAAGATGAGTTGACACAATATGATGCTTGAAACTACTGTAAAGAACAAGATGGGAATGATTCAACAAGTTACGGTAATGAACAAGATGAGCTGACACAATATGATGCTTGAAACTACTGTAAAGAACAAGATGAGTTGACACAATATGATGCTTGAAACTACTGTAAAGAACAAGATGGGAATGATTCAACAAGTTACGGTAATGAACTAGATGGGAATGATTCAACAAGTTACGGTAATGAACAAGATGAGTTGACACAATATGATGCTTGAAACTACTGTAAAGAACAAGATGGGAATGATTCAACAAGTTACGGTAATGAACAAGATGAGTTGACACAATATGATGCTTGAAACTACTGTAAAGAACAAGATGGGAATGATTCAACAAGTTACGGTAATGAACAAGATGAGTTGACACAATATGATGCTTGAAAACTACTGTAAAGAACAAGATGGGAATGATTCAACAAGTTACGGTAATGAACAAGATGAGTTGACACAATATGATGCTTGAAACTACTGTAAAGAACAAGATGGGAATGATTCAACAAGTTACGGTAATGAACAAGATGAGTTGACACAATATGATGCTTGAAACTACTGTAAAGAACAAGATGGGAATGATTCAACAAGTTACGGTAATGAACAAGATGAGCTGACACAATATGATGCTTGAAACTACTGTAAAGAACAAGATGGGAATGATTCAACAAGTTACGGTAAAGAACAAGATGGGAATGATACAACAAGTTACGGTAGTGAACAAGATGAGTTGACACAATATGATGCTTGAAACTACTGTAAAGAACAAGATGGGAATGATTCAACAAGTTACGGTAATGAACAAGATGAGTTGACACAATATGATGCTTGAAACTACTGTAAAGAACAAGATGGGAATGATTCAACAAGTTACGGTAATGAACAAGATGAGTTGACACAATATGATGCTTGAAACTACTGTAAAGAACAAGATGGGAATGATTCAACAAGTTACGGTAATGAACAAGATGAGCTGACACAATATGATGCTTGAAACTACTGTAAAGAACAAGATGGGAATGATTCAACAAGTTACGGTAAAGAACAAGATGGGAATGATTCAACAAGTTACGGTAATGAACAAGATGGGAATGATTCAACAAGTTACGGTAATGAACAAGATGAGCTGACACAATATGATGCTTGAAACTACTGTAAAGAACAAGATGGGAATGATTCAACAAGTTACGGTAATGAACAAGATGGGAATGATTCAACAAGTTACGGTAATGAACAAGATGGGAATGATTCAACAAGTTACGGTAATGAACAAGATGGGAATGATTCAACAAGTACGGTAATGAACAAGATGGGAATGATTCAACAAGTTACGGTAAAGAACAAGATGAGCTGACACAACAAGCTGATCAATCAACCAAACTGAGAATTACTTCTTCAGCATTCTGAGTCCTTGAGGGTCACCGCTGCAGACATCACCTGCCTCCAAGAGTGGCCTTCTCTTTCCAGCTGGTGACTCCAAGTGTTTGTCTTATTCATCTGCCTCCTGGTTCACTCCCTTTTACCCAACTCCCCCCTCCCCATTTTTTTTTTCTTTCTGTACAGTTTTAGCCTCTCTATATGTCCCAGACATTTCAGTCTATTAGCTCTTATAATACCAGTGATCAGTGGTTATTTTAATCAATTATGAACTGTTCCTTCTAAATCTCCCCTGTTCCATGACAAACTAGTTTTTTCAAACCCCCAACCTAGAGGACCAGTGTGTCTCTGTGTGTCTCTACCCTTTGACCTGCCAGGCATGGGGGACCCTGCTGGTAGCTACACCACCGCAAGCATAGCTCTCAGAGTCACTGAGAGATGCACACTCCCCCACCACATCAAGGCTGAGACACAGATACAGTACAAGACATTTATGACTAAGGAATAAAGAAAAACGACACAGCTACACAAGAAGTTTGAAAGTATGAGGACCAACATGCATGCACTGGATTTCCCCCCACATGACTCAGTCTATCTCTACAGACTGGCCTGGAGAGCACTGCACAAAGCACAAACTCTACAGCTTAAACAATGACCTCCAGGGATATCTGAAATAACTTGCAAACCAAAGGATGGTGTCGAAATTCAAACCCACTGCCTTCAAAGCACAAGGCAAAAATTGTAATCTTCATCACACAGATATTATAAAAAATGAATGTTAAGTGACTTGTCTTGCAGGAAACAGAACCAAGGTTTCCGTGTTCACCCGAAAAAAAAGGTGGTGGTGTGGTTTACAGCTAGGCTGAGATGTTTGCCCAACACCAACTTCCTAACTAGTCACCTTTCATAATATGCTTGTTGGGAGCAGCAGGTTAAAATACCCCCCCCCCCCCCACCCCCCAACCCAACTAGATCCCAAAACCCCTGTAAGAGGTGCGAGGATCCATGTGGAGAACACAGAATAGACCCACAGCTCCCTAATAAGCATGTCATAAAAGGCTTCAAAACGGAGTGCATCTCCTAAGAGGCAAGGAACTAGCAGTCTGCACACAAATAAGCCAGATTTTGAAATGGATATGCCTGCAAAACTCAAGTTCTGGATCAAAACCATAGACCAGGAGTGTGGACAAACAACTAGAACGTTCTGCCAGAGTTTACAGCTAGAGACCACCAAGAAGAAGAAGAAAGTGAGCATCAACAAAACAAAAAACTAGAACTTTCTGCCAGAGTTTACAGCTAGAGACCACCAAGAAGAAGAAGAAAGGGAGCATCAACAAAACAAACAACTAGAACATTCTGCCAGAGTTTACAGCTAGAGACCACCAAGAAGAAGAAGAAAGTGAGCATCAACAAAACAAACAACTAGAACTTTCTGCCAGAGTTTACAGCTAGAGACCACCAAGAAGAAGAAGAAAGGGAGCATCAACAAAACAGACTAGAACTTTCTGCCAGAGTTTACAGCTAGAGACCACCAAGAAGAAGAAGAAAGGGAGCATCAACAAAACAGACTAGAACTTTCTGCCAGAGTTTACAGCTAGAGACCACCAAGAAGAAGAAGAAAGGGAGCATCAACAAAAACAGACTAGAACTTTCTGCCAGAGTTTACAGCTAGAGACCACCAAGAAGAAGAAGAAAGGGAGCATCAACAAAAACAGACTAGAACTTTCTGCCAGAGTTTACAGCTAGAGACCACCAAGAAGAAGAAGAAAGGGAGCATCAACAAAACAGACTAGAACTTTCTGCCAGAGTTTACAGCTAGAGACCACCAAGAAGAAGAAGAAAGTGAGCATCAACAAAACAACTAGAACATTCTGCCAGAGTTTACAGGTAGAGACCACCAAGAAGAAGAAGAAAGTAAGCATCAACAAAACAAACAACTAGAACTTTCTGCCAGAGTTTACAGCTAGAGACCACCAAGAAGAAGAAGAAAGTGAGCATCAACAAAACAAACAACTAGAATGCTCTGCCAGAGTTTACAGCTAGAGACTGCCAAGAAGAAGAAGAAAGTGAGCATCAACAAAACAAACAACTAGAACATTCTGTCAGAGTTTACAGCTAGAGACCACCAAGAAGAAGAAGAAAGTGAGCATCAACAAAACAAACAACTAGAACTTTCTGCCAGAGTTTACAGCTAGAGACCACCAAGAAGAAGAAGATAGTGAGCATCAACAAAACAAAAAACTAGAACTTTCTGCCAGAGTTTACAGCTAGAGACCACCAAGAAGAAGAAGAAAGTGAGCATCAACAAAACAAACAACTAGAACTTTCTGCCAGAGTTTACAGCTAGAGACCACCAAGAAGAAGAAGAAAGTGAGCATCAACAAAACAAACAACTAGAACTTTCTGCCAGAGTTTACAGCTAGAGACCACCAAGAAGAAGAAGAAAGTGAGCATCAACAAAACAAACAACTAGAACTTTCTGCCAGAGTTTACAGCTAGAGACCACCAAGAAGAAGAAGAAAGGGAGCATCAACAAAACAGACTAGAACTTTCTGCCAGAGTTTACAGCTAGAGACCACCAAGAAGAAGAAGAAAGTGAGCATCAACAAAACAAACAACTAGAACATTCTGCCAGAGTTTACAGCTAGAGACCATCAAGAAGAAGTGGAAAGTGAGCATCACCAAAACAAACAACTAGAACATTCTGCCAGAGTTTACAGCTAGAGACCACCAAGAAGAAGTGGACAATGAGCATCAACAAAACAAACAACTAGAACTTTCTGCCAGAGTTTACAGCTAGAGACCACCAAGAAGAAGAAAACAGTGAGCATCAACAAAACAAACAACTAGAACATTCTGCCAGAGTTTACAGCTAGAGACCACCAAGAAGAAGAAAACAGTGAGCATCAACAAAACAAACAACTAGAACATTCTGTCAGAGTTTACAGCTAGAGACCACCAAGAAGAAGAAAACAGTGAGCATCAACAAAACAAACAACTAGAACATTCTGCCAGAGTTTACAGCTAGAGACCACCAAGAAGAAGAAAACAGTGAGCATCAACAAAACAAACAACTAGAACATTCTGTCAGAGTTTACAGCTAGAGACCACCAAGAAGAAAAATAAAGTGAGCATCAACAAAACAAACAACTAGAACTTTCTGCCAGAGTTTACAGCTAGAGACCACCAAGAAGAAGAAAACAGTGAGCATCAACAAAACAAACAACTAGAACATTCTGTCAGAGTTTACAGCTAGAGACCACCAAGAAGAAAAATAAAGTGAGCATCAACAAAACAAACAACTAGAACATTCTGCCAGAGTTTACAGCTAGAGACCACCAAGAAGAAGAAAGTAAGCATCAACAAAACAAACAACTAGAACATTCTGCCAGAGTTTACAGCTAGAGACCACCAAGAAGAAGAAAGTGAGCATCAACAAAACAAACAACTAGAACATTCTGCCAGAGTTTACAGCTAGAGACCACCAAGAAGAAGAAAGTGAGCATCAACAAAACAAACAACTAGAACATTCTGCCAGAGTTTACAGCTAGAGACCACCAAGAAGAAGAAAGTGAGCATCAACAAAACAAACAACTAGAACTTTCTGCCAGAGTTTACAGCTAGAGACCACCAAGAAGAAGAAAGTGAGCATCAACAAAACAAACAACTAGAACATTCTGCCAGAGTTTACAGCTAGAGACCACCAAGAAGAAGAAAGTGAGCATCAACAAAACAAACAACTAGAACATTCTGCCAGAGTTTACAGCTAGAGACCACCAAGAAGAAGAAAGTAAGCATCAACAAAACAAACAACTAGAACATTCTGCCAGAGTTTACAGCTAGAGACCACCAAGAAGAAGAAAGTGAGCATCAACAAAACAAACAACTAGAACATTCTGCCAGAGTTTACAGCTAGAGACCACCAAGAAGAAGAAAGTGAGCATCAACAAAACAAACAACTAGAACATTCTGCCAGAGTTTACAGCTAGAGACCACCAAGAAGAAGAAAGTGAGCATCAACAAAACAAACAACTAGAACTTTCTGCCAGAGTTTACAGCTAGAGACCACCAAGAAGAAGAAGAAAGTAAGCATCAACAAAACAAACAACTAGAACATTCTGCCAGAGTTTACAGCTAGAGACCACCAAGAAGAAGAAAGTGAGCATCAACAAAACAAACAACTAGAACTTTCTGCCAGAGTTTACAGCTAGAGACCACCAAGAAGAAGAAGAAAGTAAGCCTCAACAAAACAAACAACTAGAACTTTCTGCCAGAGTTTACAGCTAGAGACCACCAAGAAGAAGAAAGTGAGCATCAACAAAACAAACAACTAGAACTTTCTGCCAGAGTTTACAGCTAGAGACCACCAAGAAGAAGAAGAAAGTGAGTATCAACACACACACAAAAATATATACAGAAGCAGCTGCACTTTGAATGAAAACAATGAAAAAGATCACACATGCTGCCTGGCACTGACCTGTAGATGCTCTTCTGTGTAAGGTAAATCCTCCCACTTTGGTACCTCAACATTTTTGTTGACATTACTTTCAAACAAGGGAATGACCATGTTCTCCAGTTCATCAAGAGACTCTTTGCCCAAAACACACAGACCCATGATGTTGGAGGAGTAATACCGAGAATGGAACTTCAGTAATTCCTCTCTGACATCAACTCCCTTAGATTTTGGAATTGTTTCCAAGGTCTCTTTGTTTCCTGCAAGGATTAAATATTCTATTACAAAAGTAAAGTCTCTGTTCCTTAGAAATATTACAAATTCTGCTATAAAAGTAACATCTTTTTGTTTCCTAGAAACATCACACATTCTATTATAAAAGTAAAGTCTATGTTCCTAGAAACATTACATGATTTTATTATAAAAGTAATATCTCTATGATTTCTAAGAACCTTACACATTCTATTATAAAAGTAAAGTCTATGTTCCTAGAAACATTACATGTTTTTATTATAAAAGTAATATCTCTATGATTTCTAAGAACCTTACACATTCTATTATAAAAGTAAAGTCTATGTTCCTAGAAACATTACATGTTTTTATTATAATAGTAATAACTCTATGATTTCTAAGAACCTTGCACATTCTTTTATAAAAGGAACGTCTTTGTTTCTCAAACATATATGTATTCTGTATAAAATTTAAAGCTTCTGTTCTTCCTGTTGAATGCTGAATTAAGAATCAACAATGCAGCACTCGGGACAACCCCATAAGCGCTCTATCCTCATCTTCAGCAGCAAACTACGAGTTGAAATTCCCATGGTACCAGTAACTGTCTGATTGTATATCCTGTTCCTTGGCACTGTTCTCTTGCTCCTAAAGTCCTCTCACAACATCCAGCTTCTCATACATCAGTTAACCACCAAGTGGTGCAGAACCGGCCAGTCTCTGCTCATTTCCCAACACACCGGCATAACCTGCAGAAAATGTCCAAAGGATTCTAACTATCCGGGACCTCTCAAGTGATGCTTGCCATTCTGCACGGGGCATGCCTTTCTCCACCCGTTCTTCCTTTCAGCGTTAAAAAAAAAAATATCCAGAGTTCTCAACCCTTTGGCTCGGTACTATGGATATCACAACCCTTCTGCCTTGATAGATACTGTAAATCTTAGAGAAATGTGGCTTTTCTGCCTACCCCGGACGTGAACCCGGACCACAAGGAGTTTATCAATCGGTCTTCTTAAAGTCAGTTTCAGCCAACTACGCTAGCGAGCCAGGTTCCTGTCAGCGCTAAGTTATGAAGAGCTGTCGAGTGTGAGCCTTGGTATATGTTACATAGATACTGCTATTCATGGCCTCGGATATTCCATTGCTTGCATGGTCAACTTCCACTGTGGCTTCAGTGACACGGCTCTCTCACTATCTGGTCTTGACATATGACATTAAACATTATATCCAATTCATCATCATCATCAGGTGCCTTGCCGACTGGCATGGGCGATCATGCCTCTCCATAATCTGCGATCTTCTGCAGCATGTATGACTTCGTGTGCCGACACACCTCCATGCCATGCAACAAGACTGTCAAGCATCTTCTCTCGTTGTCTACCTCTATCTCTCCTTCCACATATCTTTCCAGTGGTCACAACATGTTCTATTTTCCCTCTTCTCATAACATGGCCGAAAAATGATGACTGTCTCCTTCTGATGTCTGTGATAAGTTGTCTTTGGGCTCCCGCCTCTTTCAAAACCTCTTGGTTGCTCTTTTTGGCTGTCCAAGGTATTCTAAGCATTCTTCTGTAAAACCACATCTCCGAGGCCTCCAGGAATTGTTTGGCCCGCCTACCTATTGTCCAAGATTCACAGCCATATGTTAAAACTGGATGTATGTAGCAAGCAAGAATTCTTTTTCTAACTCTCAATGACAAGGATATATTGCACAAGATGTTTTTCATTTTATAAAATGCAGTTTTTGCCTGTCCTATTCTGTTTCTTATCTCAGTTATGCATCTTCCATCTGTTATCCATGTGCCCAAATATTTAAATTTCTGTACTTGTCCTAAAATAACACCATCAACTTTTATTACACACTTAGGAATAATTCGTTTCTTTGATACCACCATTACTTCTGTCTTCCCATTATTCAAATTGAGGCCCATTCTTCCACTTTCTAACACCACAATGTCTATCATTTCCTGTAGTTCTTTCTGACTTGTTGCTATCAAGACTGTGTCATCAGCATAACGTAAATTATTTATATTGTGCCCACCAACCACAATTCCGGGCATACCAATTAAAGCTCTCATTATATATTCACTGTATAGTGAAAACAAATCAGGTGACAGTACACATCCTTGTCATACGCCCCTCTTTATGCTTTGAAATGTACCTAAACAGTTGTTAATTCTTATAGCTGCTGTTTGCTGCCAATACATATTCTTTATTATTCTTAGATCTTTCCCATCAATGTTTAATTTTTCTAACAGTTTGATTACTTCTTCATGCTTCACACAGTCAAACGCTTTTGTATAGTCTATGAAGCTTATGTACAAATCAGTCTTTACTTCTATATCCTATTATAAAAATAATTCTCCTAGAGATACAGATTCTACTATATAAATAAAGCATCCTTCTGTTACGAAACAATTACATATTTTTGTTATACCAGCAAAGTCTTTTAATTTTGTGGAAACAGTACATGTTCTATCATAAAAGCAGTATTTTTTGTTTTGTTTTGTGTGTGTTAAAATTCACAATTTATATATTATTAATCATCATCATGTGCATTCTATAACTTCTGGGAAGCAATGTTGTAGTCTTTAACACAGCAGCATCAGTATTATTTGGGTTTTTGTATGAGATCAGCACTATCTAGCTGCAACTTTGCCATCCGTGACTATGTTACTGTACAGCTTATCAGTTTTTCTGTCTCTTTTTATTGATTCTATCATCATCATGTAGCAGGTCCTTTGCAGAACGTCGCTCTCATCACGGTCTGCCTAAAAGAAACTTGGTCTCTCGCCAGCTTTCCCGCCTCGTACACTTTTATGCTCAAGGAGTCACTTATATCCTGTGCCCATCTTTGTGTTGGTCGGCCCCTGCCCTTTCTTTTTATTGTATTTTTACAGCATCACTAAAGTTCAACCTTCGAGGGCTGAAGTCCCTTGCCTCCTACAACAAAGGTCATGGATTCATGGAGATTCCTGGGGATCATCGCTGAAGCTGTGTAGCTTGTGCTTTGTGTTAGCTGTGTTGCAGAAATACTGAGCTATATGGGATATACTCTGTACAGTGGACTTGACCCTCTTGATTTTCAACTTTAAATCTGAAGTTCAAGCAATTTCATTTCTCAACATTCCTACCTCCCTTGAGAACACTGTGACCCAGACGAACTGACCCTGACGAGCATTACATGTTCTTACTGACCTGTTCCAAACTTGCTAAAGTCATGATCCTCCCTGGCTAGAGACTTGTCCAGCTGGAACAATCTCCAGGGGTCACTCTGGAGATTTCGACTGTTTTCACTGTCCACTGCATTTACTTCGCGCCCAGTAGCAGACGCAGTAAACAGGGGACAGCAAAAAAACTGGGCAAATCTGAAATATTGCATAAGATAATGTCACGGCAGAAGTATAATGATGGTTGATTAACTAGTGACAAGTGTGTCACAATCACCATTAGATTTTACTTTATTGTAGGAAAGTAAGTTATCGGTCAAGGAAACGGAAAGAAAGATTACATAATTTTAAAACCAGGTTACATATTTTCAACTTTAATGTTATTTCAATTGCCAGTGAAAGCTGGAGAACCTTTAAGGACATGAAACAAAAGTTATGTATATAAAAAAAAAATGTCAGAAAGAATTGAATGTTAGATGCGTTCTTAGAGGGTAACGCATCCTACCAACTGTACAGGGTGTATGACCTGCTCCGGTCACATTCAAGAGCTCCCTCAGACACAACTACTACCAAGTTCCTACAGGAAAGCAAGAAGAGGCCAACAACAACAACAGGAACACAACAATAGGCCAGGCACTTATAACATCGCAACAACCACAATATAGCTGGCTCAGATTACATGTCCTGTCATATCGACCAACACTACCTAAGAATGCTGTAACACAGTACACCAGACAAGTAAGATCTTATAGCACAATCAGTCTCTATTATTATGAAAGAACACACTGCGACGACCATGAAGAGGTGATCAATGACTCACGATCAGTCTACCACATCTGCCAAATACACTCACATTGGCAGTCTCCAGAACATGGACAAAACACCCTGGTGAACTATGTACAGGTGGCTGCTACGGGCAACTCACAAATACACTCACATTGGCAGTCTCCAGAACATGGACAAAACACCCTGGTGAACTATGTACAGGTGGCTGCTACGGGTGACTTACAAATACACCTATGTGATGTGCAGTGATGGCTCTCAATCTAAGAGACCCTGCCACCTCAGAGCCAAAGGTAGATACACCACTTAGTGAAAAGAATCCAAACCTCCAGTCTCCTACTCTGTCAGTCATTGAAGTGTCATTGATCAACTTCCAGTTAACCATGACAGTCCGTTGAACTATTGGTTCCACCCTTCACTGACCAGCATTTCCGATTACCATGCACATTGGTCAAAACACACAAAGTTACCACAGCATCTTCGGCACTTAAAAACACCCTGTCAACCAGCGTACCACATAACCTAAACTTTGCTGAGACCAACATCCATGGTCCTTCACAACCACCTATTCTAAAAAATCACACTGTCAGCATTTCAAAGTACAATTGGGGATCCACCACATTTATCTGGACAGTTCACCTGAGCTACAAATTAGTAAAACATATAGTTAAAACTGCCACACTACAAGTCTGTGAACCATGGGAGCGTCCGGCTCTAACTACCACGGGATCATGTGCTATCGGCCGACATGGATTTCACAACATCCGTGATGGACCATGGTGACATGTCCACAAGCTTGTCATGAGCTTTGAGCAAAATGCATATATTCCACAACTCCAAGAGGCTAACGCTCCACAGTCAGCTAAACTGTGAATAATATGTACCCATGCCACACCAAACCCTGGCTTCATTAACGCTTTACACATCAAAGTGACTTTTACATACAGCACTCATGAAAATTAAATAGGATGAATTTCAGAAAGGCAGAAAGATGTGGTCAGTGTACTTTAGGAGTGGGTGGTGAGTGTGCAGCCATGAACAGGTTGTTATGGTCTGGAGGGAATGGTAGACCCAGGAGTGACCAGGCGATCTGGTTGACACTCTTCATTCAGAGGAAAGGCAAGATGGACACATGATCAAATTTCTACTGCCACCACTGGAACTCTTCGCTGGCTACTGAAGATAAGGATAGGGTGTTTACGGGAATGTCCCGAGATCTGTAATGTCAGTTTTTAGTTTAACACTCATATTCTTCATCCTACTAAAATTACTTCTATCTCTTCAGTGTTGATTCTCATATTATTTGTCTTACATTCTTCATTCACAGATGCTAGATGTTGTAATTGTATGGTTGTTTCTGCTATCAAGGCTTCGTCATTAACAAAGAGTAATTCATTGATATTTTCATTCCCGGGCTTGGTATCCTTGCATATACTATCAATGTAGGTGATAAACAGCAATAGTGATGAGACACATCCCTGACTTTTTACTCCAGATGTTACTGTGAATGGTTTAGATGTTCCCTCATTTGTTCTAACTATGCTTCTACAATACCTACATAAACTTTTCAAACTTCAATGAGGTGTTTGCTTACTCCACATTGAGCCATCACTTTCCATTATACCTGTCTATCAACTCTAATGAATGCTTTCTCCCTGTCTACGAATGCCACAAATAGTTTCTTATCATATTTGATGTTCTTTCTGTGAACTGGTTAGATTTAAAGATTGCATCTGTGCAGCTTCTATTTTTCCCACATCCTATCTGTTATTCTGCCAACTGTGGTTCTAGCACTGGTCTCAGCCTCGCTTTACTTTTTTGAAATACATTTTTCCCACTTAAAAGAGGGATGCTCGGTACTTACTGCATTCTTGCTTGCCTTCTTGTTCTTCCCCAACTGTCTGACTACTGTATGTTGCCAGTCAATGGGAAAAGTTTGTTGTACATTAAATATTCTGTGAAGCCATCTGGTGCTGCTTTCACCTGCTGCTTTGATTATTTCTGCTGGTCGTCTGTCAACTCCTGGTGCTTTATATTTGGGAGACTGCTTAATGACTTTTTCTGTCTCATCAATTTGAATATCTGGTTCTAGCCAATATAACACTGGCTGCTTTAAGTGTGGAACATGACATATATCAGCTGGGTCAACAAGGGAGCTCAACTGAATCAATATAATTCCTGAGAGTGATGACCCTGCTTTGCATGGTCTCCAGGCTCACAGCAAGTCAAGCAGAAAATCCGTGCCACAAACGACCGCACAAGATACATGGGGCTGGAAAGGTAAACAAGATAAAGTCTGGGGTTTCCCTGTGTGGGTTCCGGGGCCCTGTTATGGGGAAAGCAAGAACAGACCTACTGCCTACCCAAAGGCATGTCGTAAGAGTTGGCTAATTGGGAGCTTCATTCAAAGCCAGAGTACATCTGCCTGAGAGTCAAGGAACCAGCAGTCTGCATACAAATGAGTCAGATCTGTGAAATGGATGCACACGCAACACTCAGGTTCTGGAACAGGACTGCAGTCCAGAAGTGAATGAACAACCAGAACTTTCCGCCAGAGTTTACAGCTGGTGAACGCGAAGAAGAAGTCTGGGGTTGACTCAAGGTCAGCTGTGTACCAGAATTGGGAGAAGACAGTCATCATGTTGCCAATGTTGTTTGAATTAAGTGTAGTCAATGTTGAGTAAATGATTATTGTGGCATAGTTGTGGAAGTCAACAGCGATAAGTGTGGTTGAGTAATTGTGATGGAATAGAAGTAATAAACTGGCAGAATGTATACTGGAATTTGATCGGCATTCCAGTGTTGTCAATTGTTGAAAGATGTATTTGCTCCAGAGTAAACGAGCTATATCAAAAGTGAGCCAGCTTTCTGACACTAACTAAAAGAGATTTCAACAACTAAGAACACTGGACTGCCAAGAATGGTACCCACTGAGCTACCGCAGCCATCCAACAATGAAGAATGCTGAGCTATTTATAATACAAAACAAAAATGAGAACAAACAATTTAAAGGGACTATTTCTGACTAGCTTACCTGTCCAGGGCTCCTGGTAAATATTCAGGTGAGACATCAAAGTAGTAGTTGGTATGCTCCAGGGATGTGAAGGCATTTGACATTCCTCCGTGTTCATTCAAAAACTGAAAATACGAGATGAAGTTTACAGTGGCTCTGTGACTTTGATTTCAGATGTAAATAGACATTACACATTAGGTCATGAGCTCTTTAGGCTTAATCATAAACATTTAGGTCATCAGTTTTCTATGCCTTATGATAGACTTTTAGGTGGACTGCGGGTGCCAGGAGTGGATGGATCAAAAGCACATAATTGATTTTCTGTCCAGGATATTCAGGTGTTCGAGGTAACAAGTAAGCGGACAGATTGGCTGCTGCCGCTCCTTTGGACAATGAGTTATTATATGACAAAGTAAATGTGGTGAAGGCTCTATAGCAAGAAAAAAATGGACAGTGCAAAAAAACAGACAGGAAATCCATATACTGACAGATTAATTCAAGGGGGGTGAGTAGAGAGAGAGAGGTTCTGGAAGATATTCAACATTGAGGGGGAAACAGAGGCAGACTTTGATCAGGTTACAACTGGTACTATTAGCCTGTCAACTCTTCGTTGGTTACTGAAGAAGGGGATGCAGCACATGTGGGAATGTCCTGAGTGCAATGATGTCAATTCTTTATTCATATATTAAAACACTGAGGTCATCAGCTCTCTATGATTAATGATAAACACTGAGGTCATCAGCTCTCTATGATTAATGATAAACACTGAGGTCATCAGCTCTCTATGATTAATGATAAACACTGAGGTCATCAGCTCTCTATGATTAATGATAAACACTGAGGTCATCAGCTCTCTATGATTAATGATAAACACTGAGGTCATCAGCTCTCTATGATTAATGATAAACACTGAGGTCATCAGCTCTCTATGATTAATGATAAACACTGAGGTCATCAGCTCTCTATGATTAATGATAAACACTGAGGTCATCAGCTCTCTATGATTAATGATAAACACTGAGGTCATCAGCTCTCTATGATTAATGATAAACACTGAGGTCATCAGCTCTCTATGATTAATGATAAACACTGAGGTCATCAGCTCTCTATGATTAATGATAAACACTGAGGTCATCAGCTCTCTATGATTAATGATAAACACTGAGGTCATCAGCTCTCTATGATTAATGATAAACACTTAAGACACCACCATCTCTTTGAGTGCCCATAACTCAGCGAGACTAGAAGAATGCTACTTCCTCCGAGACCAGACAAGTGGAAAACCTTGCACGGGGGAAAAAAACAGCTTGTGAAAACATGCAAATTCCACAACATAGCACTGGGCCAGAGGGCGAAAGCTCATGTGCTGCTGGATCGATTACAACAACAATTATTTCACTTGATTAATTTATTTTAAGTCATGTCTAAAAGTGATAAACTTATCAGTTCTCTACATCAGGTGATAAATACCGATAGTGTTTCCTTGAAAATAAGACTGGGTCATACTGATTTCTGCTTAAAAAAATTGTACCAGGGCTTATTTTTGGGGGATTTGTGATTTTTGTTTGATTTATTCACGCATAAAATTCTATGCATATTCAAATACAATCATGTCCTTATCTTTCTCTCAAATATTATCAGAATTCCAGTCTGCATTTCTTGTGATTCCATTTTCTGTAGAACCATTGGCCCCAGTCTGTCATTTCAGTGACGATCTTAACTAGGGCCTATTTTTGGGGTAGAGCTTATACTTGAGGTCCGTTTTAATTTCAGGGAAAAACAGTATCAGGTCATAGGATATTTTCCCTATCTCCGTGTGGTGATCTCTCTCTCTCTCTTCTTCTGTTGTACCCCACCAGGACATCACACAAGCGATAAACACCCGGTGACACAAAATGCCACAATGCGGATGAGGTTCACCCGTGGAGAGGTCCCAGAAACCCCTTTCAGCCGTAAGGCCCTATTTATGGCCCGATTATATTCAGGGCCCCCAGCTAAAGCCAGGGTGGGGCTTCAAATAATGCAAAATTGCAAAATGAGGACTATGTTTTATGGTGATATCAGTTTCGTAGAATGTTTCAGCCAGAGTAACTAATAACGACTGCTTGAAAGAAGCTAATGAAAGTATATCTCAATATACAACAATAAGAAAGAGACAAACACTGTTCTTTGGACACATAATGAGAAAGATGTTGGAAAACATCGTGACAACTGGAAAGATCAGTGGAAAAAGGGGTAGAGTCAGACCAAGAGAGATGATGCTGGATGAGCTGAAACAATGGCACGGAGGGGCATCATCAAGAGAGCTGTTCTAGGCAACCTGGGATCCTGATCTGTGAAGACGTATGAGCGCCTTTGCCAGTTGGCAGGGCACATGATGATGATGAGAATGTTTAATAGCCACAATGTTACAATGTCAGCTTAATGGGACATTTTACTGTCTCAATGTGGCAGTGTTAATTTAGTTAACCTTTTCATTATCTGAACACAGCAATATCACTTTAACGGACCATTTCAGGGTCTCAACATGGTGATGTCAGTTGTATGAGCTGTTTCATTGTCTCAACTTGGTGATGTCAGTTGTGTCAGATGTTTCACTAGATCAATATTTTGACACCATCTATGACTGTTTTGTCAACATGTTTACACACCATCTAGCCCATCCAAAACACTGAGAAAAACGGCCATTAGGAAATTTCAGGACATAATTGATTAATTATCTTATAATCTCTCAGGTCTAATTTCAACATTCTATGTCACTGAGATTCATTGCTGCAAATACCATTTGCCTCCCTTCATCCCTGACTGGCCTTCTCTTTTCAGTTGGTGACTTCAAGTGTTTGTTGGTCTGCCTGTATATCTAGTACTAAATATACATTCTATATTTTAATGCTATTTAATAACAAATTAAAAAAAAGATTTATTAGTTCTCTTTCTCGCTCTCATACACACAAACATCTTACCTTGTTGTATTCATTCTCTTCTGGATACTGAAAATAATAAACAAAATACATATTATAAAATGTTTGACACAACATTGTCTAGACGTCACATAATATATCCTAATGGCATTTGATCTGGAAATTTTCATTCAATGCAGTCATAAATAATCACACAATGGTTGTTAAGGTTAGCTGCGTATCCTTTACAGGACGTTGCAGAACCAACCCCATCAGCCCCTGGCTGTTGTGGAGTTTCACTAGGCAAATTTATGTCCAGTAGTTTGCCATTGCTTTCTGGACGGTCGGCTCCATGATACCACTGTCTAAACTAGGTACTTTAGTCAAATTTTCCAAATGCCCTCTACACCAATAAAACCAGCACAGTTAGATAGCTGTAAACAATCTCTTTCCAACGGTACCTCATTTAGGCTTGTATGTCATTTCTGAGCTGAGATATTTAGGTTTTTGTGGAGATGGGATGTAGAAAGCAGCTGCTAAAACTTGTGTCCCAGAAACAAGAAGTTCTCTTTGCGCAACCAAACTGCGCACTTTGGTTCTGGCTTTGTTTACATTGGAGATTAGAGCGTGTGGAATTATTTGAAATACATAATATAACCCCTTGACATTTATATTTTTTTGGAACGGGGTAACAAGGTCAAACTTAAAAAAACTTTGAAATTTTTAGTTATTATTCGTTGCGAGTGCGACTCGTGAGCCAGCATACCGCGATCGAAACCCAATGCAGGCTGCGTGGATTTTTATCGTGGTATGGGACGTCGCAGGTCAACCCAGCCTAAAATGGGTACCAGGATGGGCTGTCCTGGGAAAGTAAAGACAGCCGGCGTAATGCTGACCACATGATGGTTTGTAAAAATATGGGACGCTCTGCCCATATGCCCGATGCGCCGAAAGGCGTGAAAAGGAATCTTTACTCTACTTTTTTATTATAATGAGTTTCAAAATATCTGCCAATAGCCATAAATAATGAAGTTTATGCCGAAATCTTGTCAACACCATTTTTTTAAATCTAAACCTCATAGTGCAATCACTGGGCCATATGGTCACGTCAAAGAACGCCGTCAGCTTAATTATTTTTTCCAAAATGGTTGCTTGCCGCTTAATATTATTAATAATTATCAAACAAACAAACATGCAAGCAAACAAAGAAAAAAAAAGCAGCTGAAATTCCAGTTTAAAAAATTATTTGATGGTGAATAACAGAAAGAACTCAAGACATATATGTTTACAGCACTCTTTATTGTCTGTAAAAATGTTACAACTTTACTTTTCTGAAATAAAGGTTAACAATATGCTACAGCTTTATGACATAAACACTGCAATAAACAAAACTATAAATGAGCAAATACTGTTACATAACACTCCCCCGTGTGGGTGCAGGGGCCACTTTGTGGGGGTGGGGTGGGGGGGGGGGGGCGGAACAAGAATAGACCAACTGCCTTTCCAGCAAGCATGTTGTAGGAGTCAAATAACTGGGGAATTCCTATAAAGTTGGTCAAATGAGTCAGGAACAAAGCAGGAGTACAAAACAAAAACAAAACCAGGGCTTTCCGCCAGAGCATAATACAACAGGTGAACAAAGAAGAAGCTACACAACAATGATTAAATTAACATTGGCATCGTAAATTTGTTTCCATTTTTTAATTAAATTTTCTATTGTTTTGTTTCAGGATGAGCAACAGTTGTTTATTGTACTTATTTTAATAAAAAGTTAATTCTCCTGTGGCAAAATCTGCTAAGAATTCAATAAATGTCATGGGAAAAGAATCATCTGCTAGTTAATGTAATTAAATTTTCTATTGTTTAGTTTCAGGCTGAGCAACAGTTGTTTGTTATACTTATTTTAATAAAAAGTTAATTCTCCTGTGGCAAAGTCTACTAAAAATTCAATAAATGTCATGGGAAAAAAATCATCTGCTAATGTCTCAGGCTCCTTCCAGTAATAAAGTTCTATCTTTGTTTTCAGAGGATTGGTCTTTCTTTGCACTTTTTTAATCATCTCCATATATGTGCAGTTCTTTCCTTCATCATACCAAATGTGACGAAGTAACACACCTGAAAGAGCGTCGGGGTCAATCATAAAATTCCTTAACTGATTTTTGGACTCTTCATCTACATCTTTAAACAAATTCAAAGAAAGTATTGAAAAAACTGTGCCTGAACGACTAAATTCTGCTGTTATAATTTTTTCATATTGAATTCTAACACTCTTGTCAAATGTCTGGAAATTTTCTTGCAATAATTTCTTTTGCCGCTCAGCCTGCTGCTGCCTTACCTTACATCCACGACTAACAGCAAAATTGATAAGATATTTTTGTAGGTCATCATCAAGTGATTTTAGCCAGTGCAAAGTTTGGTTTTGAATAGATTTAACCTTTGCATCAATGAATCCTAGCTTAGCACTGGGAGCTCTTCGCAAAGCTGCATCCACAATTGCAAGAGATCTTTCTGCATGCATGTTATGAAGTGAGGCAGAAGATGTCTTTGCAATTAACTCAGCGGATGGCTTAGACAATGGTCCATCTAAGTAGTCTTTAAACTGACGACTGAGGGTTTTAATAAAAGCTTCTGCTAATGTTTTTGACACTTTCTTAAAATCTTCAAGAGGAAACCTAGTTTGATTTAATTCAGACTTCTCCATAACCCCACCAAATGCATCAAGTTCAGCTTGTATTAGGTGTTCCGGTGTGGATTCTACTTTCTTGAGGCTTTCTATGCATTCCTTTACCAAAGGCGCTGTCTCTAAATGTCCCTTTTCCTTGTTGTCTGTATAAAACAGGTGCATCCATGGCCCTGTTACAAAACGTGAATACAATCCCAGCACCTGCAAATGAAGCAGGACCGTCTCATCTGTCAAGTTTTCACGAATTTTCACACACAGCACTTTTGCTTGTCTGTGTTCAACAAACTCTTTCAATATCTCCCGCTGCAGGTAAACAACAGCTGCCATATGGAACATGATGTTTAGACGGTTCCCAACATACCGCTTGAAGATGCTGGTATTAATATTTTTGTTTTGCAAAAAGGCCATGAATGCACCTGGATCACCAGACCCATCCTTATATCTAAGTTTGGAAATTTGGTGTATCAGTACTGCAGCACGGTATCCCAATGCTCTGTTCTGACTGTCTTGATCTGCACTATGATGCTGTTCAAGATTGTGCAAAGCCTCACGGGCAGATCTGGCAAGGCCATCCACAGGGTGAACCATACACTTCAGGTCGACCAAATCTCCAATCTCTTCCTGAAGCTTTTCGGTCACACATCGGTTGACAGCAGCTCTGTCCGTCATAGTACTGTTCAACTTGCTTTTAACTAGCTCCTTGAAATCAGAGACAGGAATCTTGAACGCATCACAGTACACTTCAAAAACATCAGACAGAACCTGAATGACATGCTCATACACATGATTTGTTGCTGATCCTGAAATATTACCAATATTAAGTGTTAGAGAGTGTCTACCACGCGATGTTGTCACAGACACATGAACCTCATTGATATGGGTTCCTTGTTTTGTTGTGGAATCCCATCCCAGTGTGCCAGCTTGGCACTCATGCAACATCTGACCCACTTGAATACTGGCCAGCACACCAAGCTCATATGCCATTTGTGATATGGTAGACACGCAAGGTACATTTAACAAACTTTTTTGAAAAACAATTCCTGAAATGGAAGTTAATAAACGAGAAATGTTAACAACACTCACATTACGCATTAAACACTCATATATACAAAGTCTAAGTCTGTAGTCATATTTTCCAGCTTCTTTTGTTATTATGTCGGAATTTTCCGCAGATTCTTCAGCAGATTCTTCAAGCATGGCTGCTCGGTTTTCCCAAAGTAAACTTCTTTCTCTTTCCTTACTCAGCTTTGTTTTCATTTTCTTTATTTTACAGATAAATTTATTTTTGGTTTCATATAATTCAGTTCTCAGACAAGCATTCTCCTTATCTGTTTCTTCAAGCTCTGTGCGCAGGTATTCAACACTACAAGTCAATTTTTTGAGTTCCTCCTCAAATAACTTTTCCTTTGTCCTGAGTGTCGAAGCATTTACTTTCTCAGTGATTTTCATCTGTCTCTTTAACCTGTTATATTTTGATCTCCACGACTGCCGTCGTATCTTCTGATTCAGTAATTTAAAAGACATCTGTTTTTTTTCCTGCCTGTGATGCTGTTCAAGTGTTCTGATCTTGAGACGTAAGCATTTGTTCTCCTTTTGCAGGTTCAATATTGTCCGCTGTTTTTTGACACAGTTGTCACAGTCCCTTCTTAAACGCTTTGGTGACGGTGAATGGGAACAAATTGAAAAAGATTCATGATGATTATTAACAGAGTCGGAGGTCAACTCCACAACCACTGTGGTTTCAGAAGTGTTTTGTGAAAACGCAAGATCAGGTTGTATGAGCGGTGCAGCTGCAAGATCAGGTTGTATGAGTGGTGCAGCTGCAAGATCAGGTTGTATGAGCGGTGCAGCTGCAAGATCAGGTTGTATGAGTGGTGCAGCTGCAAGATCAGGTTGTAAGAGCGGTGCTGCTGCAAGATCAGGCTGTATGAGCGGTGCAGCTGCAAGATCAGGTTGTATGAGCGGTGCAGGTGTTTGGGCAGCTGACGAATGTGATTCTTGAGCCTTAAATGGTATTGCAAATGGCTTCTGGTTCAATTCTAATAAGTTTGTCCACTGCTGGCTATGATTGACTGCTTTTACAGCATTTCTCTTAACCTTGTTTACAGAAGATGTTAATGCTAGCTCGTGTACCCGTCTATCTGGTTCTGCTGCCTGAACAATAGTCTTAATTCTTTTGCATATATCTGCAGTGGACAGCTTCTCATTCAGGATTAGATGAGCTATGTAGCCTCTTTTAAAAGGATACTGAGCTTCAAAGGTTGAAAGATATGCTTTAAAGTCAGATGTTGTTTTCTTTTCCATGGTCAGAAGGAGCTATCACTGTCTAATTTCAAACTTTAAACCATTCTCCTATATAAACTATAATTGTAATTATAAATATAAATAAATGTGTACTGAAAGTAAAGGGGAAAGTCCAGATTTAAAGCAGGCTATACTATTGTGTTGTTATGGTAACGGCAGTTAACGTTCTAGTGCCAATGGCTGTCTCCGTCATTTTTTTCATTCACTTCACATAGACTACTTTAATTAAAAACGTGTAGTATGTTTAAAAATGTATTTATGAGTACAAGATTTTCTATACAAAAGTACAAATGGTTAGACAGTTCAAGTATTTAATCAATTATAAGGACTATAGCTTTTTAAACCCACTGTGAATATAAAATAATCAAGATAATTATTAAACCTGAAGACCACATGGCTGTCATAATAACAATCCTATTTAAAAGTCGTTTCCTCAAAATATCTTCATAATATCTACAGCAAATTACTTAAATGATTTGTAGTTTGAAACACTAGTATATAAAATTATCTAAATATCAGAAAACAGTAAGTATTATTTAATTATCGGACGCCTAGTCACTAGATGAAAAATGTTCCCAGACAAGATGGCAGACAATTTTTTTCAGACACAGCCACATAATAGCGATTGCCTGAAAAATGTCACTGTATATCTAAAAAGCCACTGATAAGAACGAAATTTTACATACTTATGTAAAATTGGACGGAGAATTCAATTATAACTAGCATTACCCGTACTAGTAACAGCTAAAGCCTAAAACCAACCTTGAATACTTACCGAATTTTCAATCAAACTGATGTTACAGAAAAACAGAGCAATTGCGGCTGTCGTAAACTTGTATTTGTAATCGGATTCGTTCCCGCAGTTTTCAGCTATTTATAGCTGGTCCAAATTCACACCAATCGCGAAGTTTCGTGAGAGATTTGGACCCATCCGGAAACCAGCCGAGATTTCCCGAACAAGTTTCGAACGGTTTCCGGGTAACGGAAATTGCCGAAAAGATCGCAAATTTCCGAAACTGTAGTCGCTAGTCTAAACCGTATGGCCCGCAGCTGGGATCGAACCCGGTACCCCAGCATTACGAAGCGTTCACATGGACTTAGCCACAGAGCCGACAATGGTTGTTACATCTTAAAATTATAGTTCCTCTTAAGTTACTCGTTAGAAAATCAATATAGGATATAGTCATCAAACAGCCCACTTTCAGGTTAACTTTCAAAGTTTTAACAGGTAAAGTATCAACTGCACTGCATCAGATTTGATCCAAAATGGCTCTGTCTCTGTCTACAGAGTGGCTTACACAAAGCACAAGCTCCTGTACCTCAAGTGATGATCCTGGTGTATTCACCCAAACAAAATTGCATTTGTGAACCTAAAAGCAGTCCTAAACTAAACCCACAACCATCAGAGCGTGAAGCAAATGGCTTGACCACTTCACCACACACACCTCCTCCTTGACATTTCAATGACCATGACTATGTGGTTTAGAGGTTAGTAAATTCATTTCACAACGCATCCTCAGTGTGTATCCGGGTTTAATTGCTAGGGTGGGTTGTCTGGAAAAAAGAGACTGTTTTCCTAGCTTTTAAACAGCAGTACAAGAGTCACACAGTGGAAGAGACTGGGGTCACACCACACAAAATTTCCTCACTTAGTAGTCGATACACAGCAACCAACCTCCATTGTGGAGATGTTGCGCACATGCACGCACAAGCATTACTAAACTCCTTCTGTTTTGTTTCAGATATAATTTCATCAAAACTCTTGTCATATAATCACCATCAAGTGCTTTGCATAGGCGACCATGCCTCTCCACAACTTGTGATCTTCAACAGCATGTACAAGGTCATGTGGTGATACCGCTCCATGCCATGACAGAAAATAAATGAGAACATAGTCTTGTTTGCATTAATCATTTATCGTAACATAACACCCAATGGCTTTACACAAGGCTGTTCCTGGACTCAACTGGGGAAGGGGGAGGGGGGGTGTTAGACCCACTGCCTCCTTAGCAAGGATGTCATAAAAAGGCAACTAATTAGGGCTTTGCTGCGTTATGTCACATGGTGCAGATACTGCAGCCTAGCAGTAAACCACAACACAACATGCCAAAAGCCATTTTAAGGCTGGAATGTAGAAGAAGAAATTCATCTTTAAATTTGGCACTGTCACGCTTACGTTAAAAAATGCATGAGGAAAATCATGAACATAAAATGGGATAAATTCAAGGACTGACAAAATAAGAGAGACTGTAGTATCAACATTTATAGGACAATGATGCTGATGCTATACTGGATATATTCTGGGAAAATATGAACAAAGAATCACCCAACAGGCACTGGAATGGGAAATGGAGGGATTGAGGGCCAAAATGAGAAACCCTAAGACGAATATTAACGAGAGAAGCCAAAGGTGCTGGACTGGATTTCAACCATGATATCAAAGTGACTGCCAAGGATAGAACAGAATGGTGAAACACTGTGAGCCTTTTGTGACATATAATGGCACAACAAGACAAAAAAAATGGAAAAAAAAACACAATAATTTGAATGCACTCATAAACCTCTACAATCACACCAAGGAGACAAATGAAAAGAGTCTTGTTTACAATCATTTTGTATGATGTATGTATGTAAGTTGTACCTCACCAGGACATCATACAAACGATAAACACCCGGTGACACAAAGTGTGACTATGTTGATGAGGATCACTCATGGAGAGGTCCCAGAAACCCCATTCAGCCATTAGCCATATTTAGGGCCCCCAGCAAAAGCCAGGGTGGGGATTCAATTAACTAAAAATTGCATCCCACAAGGTATTGATGAGGATATTTTAACATGGTGGATCATTTATAATACACAGTGCTCTGACAAAAAGCTGCAGCAAATGATACCTTCTCAGTTCCTAAAAACAGCATATGTTCACAGAAATGGGCCAACCCTGGCAAATCTCTGGGGTCCTTGAGATGACCTAGAAAGACAAGTTGATAAACCATTAGTTTTATTATACACATTCTGCCAGTTAGCAAAAAATAAATGTTAATGTCCAACAGTTTTATCCAGTAATTTGTTCACTTTGCCTCCCCTGATCAAAACCTCTCTGTGTCATTCCTGTCCTTGTCCTTGGCACTTGCCTGCAGCGCTCAGAGGAACACATGAAGCCTCGACAGGACGAAGCCACATCAGGACTCCATTACAGGAGAAGAAGGACAAACGAAAGAATTAACAAACTTTATTTTCAAGGGGTCACAAATTGGGCACGCAGGCATGTCTTACATTCGGCCCTTCCAAACACCCAACTTTCACACAGCAGTTGTATTTTATCAACAAAACATGTTATGTTCATATAATAATATGCATATTATGAATATCAAGATAAGGAAAATCAAACAAGGACAGAGACCTCAGGGACAGGCGACAGAACACAATACCTCAGGCGGAATATCAACCACATAGGAGAACAACCCCAATCATTAAAAAAATGTCATACCCAAGACACAGGAGGCACAACCAGGAAGATGGACACACACAATGGAACCCCCACCAGGACTGCAGGACCAACAATGAGGACTACAGGACCAACAGAGAGGATTACAGGACCAACAGAAAGGACTAAAAGAGAAGACTACAGGACCAACAGAGAGGATTACAGGACCAACATAAAGGACTAAAAGAGAAGACTACAGGACCAACAGAGAGGATTACAGGACCAACAGAGAGGATTACAGGACCAACAGAGAGGACTACAGGACCAACATAAAGGAATAAAAGAGAAGACCAAAGGACCAACAGAGAGGACTACAGGACTAAAAGAGAGGACTACAGGACAAACATAAAGGAAGCAACCAACAGAGAGGACTACAGGATCAACATAGAGGACTACAGGACCAACAGAGGGGACTACAGGATCAACAGAGGGGACTACAGGACCAACAGAGGGGACTACAGGATCAACATAGAGGACTACAGGACCAACAGAGAGGACTACAGGACCAACAGAGAGGACTACAGGACCAACAGAGAGGACTACAGGACAAACATAAAGGATGCGACCAACAGAGAGGACTACAGGACTACAGGATCAACAGAGAGGACTACAGGACCAACAGAGGGGACTACAGGACCAATAGAGAGGACTACAGGACTAAAAGAGAGGACTACAGCACAAACATAAAGGAAGGGGCCAACAGAGAGGACTACAGGGCCAACAGAGAGGACTACAGGGCCAACAGAGAGGACTAAAGGACCAACAGAGAGGACCACAAGACCAACGTAAAGGACTACAGGACCTACAGAAAGGACTACAGGACCAACAGAGAGGACTACAGGACCAACAGAGATGACTTCAGGACCAACAGAGAGGACTACAGGACCAACAGAGAGGAGTACAGGACCAACAGAGAGGACTACAGGACTAAAAGAGAGGACTACATGACTAAAAGAGAGGACTACAGGACCAACAGAGAGGACTACAAGACTAAAAGAGAGGACTACAGGACAAATATAAAGGAAGGGACCAACAGAGGACTACAGGACTAAAAGAGAGGACTACAGGACTAAAAGAGAGGACTACAGGACTAAAAGAGAGGACTAAAGGACCAACAGTGAGGACTACAGGACCAAAAGAGAGGACTACAGGACTAAAAGAGAGGACTACAGGACTAACAGAGAGGACTACAGGACTAACAGACTACAGGACTAACAGAGAGGACTACAGGACCAACAGAGAGGACTCAGGCATGTTTAGAAATGCCATCGCACATTTATGGACAATAAGCCACAACTACTGGCACAACAAGCCAGTTAAGCCACTGAACTTGGCCTTATCATAATTATAACCGAAACTGTCTTTAGCATGGCTGAAAGTGATTAGACCCCCCCCCCCCCACCTCCCCCCCACCAAATCAACAGAGCAACATTTCTGCCCACCGTTTATTTCCGATTGAGTGAGGCCACAGGCCAGCAACCATTGTGCTTCTGATGCACAGATATTTCAACAGCCAGTGGATTTCATACAAAAAGCTATTTTATGTAACCTTTATGCAGTCACCTTTTCACTACCTTTTTGTATGCTTATGAAAGCTTTCTAACTGCAGTGTTTATTTTGTCATTTGTGATAGTTTTATTGGGAAGCTCACTAGTTCTACATTTCATCTGGGTTGATATTTTTTTTTTCAATAATGAATTTTACAGATGATTCACAAAGCACAGATGGCTGAGATAATAAATATTTATGTGGCAAGATGACACAAGTCACAGGACTCTTATTATTTTCCACTAGAGCTTCAGTACAAGCAGGAAAAGAAGCCTGTCTTCACAACATACTGCACACTCCAGACACATACGCAATATTTCAGACAACAAATATGACTGCTTATAGTTTCTTGACTGCTTAAACTGAAACCATGAAACAATGTTTTAGAATCAAAGATGAATTCTGAGCTTATGAATCTATGTGGTAAAATAATCAAAAATTGGGCTATCCACTGAATAACGGTCCCACATTATCAAGGCCGAAAATATACCCTAACAGGGCCTAAGTCACATGTTAAATGCGGACTTCCGGCAACTTAAATTGCGGACTTCTGGCGACTACCGCCACTGCGCACAGCGTGGAGAGGGGCTAAATTAGATGGCTGGGATTCACGAGCAGCAGCTACCGCATCTCCAGCAGCTTCCTTCATTTTATTTGCTCGTGAGTCCAAGCTATCTAGTTTAGCCCTGCTCCACGCCGCGTAGCCTCTCGGCGGTGACGGTAGTCGCCTGAATATTTTCGGCCTTGATAATTTGGGACTGTTATTCGGAGGATAGCCAAAAACTGTTTAGAGAATTAACTCTACTTTTCCTTGACCCATGGATACCCTGTACTAGAATTCCAAAGGAGACTGGATGCAATGTCATCTTACCAACTCTATATTAATCATTACAATCAACTTTTCTAAATAATCCTAATCAGAAGTCTTTATAAACAAAACTTCCAGAGTCTACAGCACTTCTTGTGTATTTGCTTCAAGAAACAGCAGTTCTTCCACACGTCAGTACATACACGGAGAAGTAAAAAAAAAAACAACCTTACCTATATGTACATCCATGGCTGCAGATGATTTGTCAGTCTCAGGGTCACTGATCAGAAGAACCTTCAACCCATTTTTGAGTTCAAGGCCCCGGTACTGCCTGGGATCTGCTGCAGACTTTGTGATATGACTGTCTTCATATGTTTTTGCTATACTTGCCATGGCAATAGTTCTGCAGAAGGAAAGAAGAGAATTACGTCGTTACCACATATTAGCGTTCTCGCTGGCTCATTTATTATTTTATTTATTTATATCATTCACATTTCAAGATCCAGTAGCACAGAAGAGCAGGTCTTTTTAGCCTGTTTTATCCAGTACCAGCATCTTTACCTCAACTTTTTTTTTTCTGTGCAGACGTGTTTATGGTTGGCTAGATTTGATAGTTAGTGAGTTTTCTACAAGATGGGGTAGCCAGTTCAACACCAACCCTCCTTGGTCACCTCTGGGTCATACATGGTAGGTCACGGTGTTGCTATTCTTTGCCTCGGGCCCAAAGGTCTCGGGTCTGATCCGATCATCAAGTTGGAAGTTTTTCAAAAAATGACCTTTGCTCCTAGGTCAATGCCACCTAAAATGAACACCAGGTTAAGTCCAGGGAAGTAAAGTCGGCTAGCATGATGCTGAGCACATCACCCATCTAGTGCCAACTGGTCTACAAACAATTTGAGTCTAGCCAAACATGCCCGATACATCATTAGCCTGAAAAGAGTGTACTTGTATCTCACCTGACAATTATCTCACCACACATTTTTTCAAACAGTTAATAAGATATGCATTGAATAAGATCAAACCAAATAAGCCTAAAAAATATGGGAAGTCCGACCTCGAGAAAATATTAATCAAGACTTAATTAAATTCATAATGAGACTAAGAAAAACTGTTTTCCTACTGTAAAACTGGGTTACAAAAACACCTACACCATCAACAGCAGAATAAAACAAACACGTAGGATAAGAATCACAGCAGAAAAAAAAAGCATGTAAGTGAGAAATCAATCTATCGCAACATCTGAACAAGGTATAAGATAATTGATTTTATATTCTTTACACTAAATACAACTACCAATTGTGAAAATATAGGATGGTAGTAAACTATTATCAAGTGATCAATTGAATACATGTAATAAATGGAAGGTGGGAAGTGACTGTTTAAAGCAGTGTTCTTCAACTTGTGGTCCACCAAAAAAGTCCACTTTTAGAAGAATTATTTTTTTCCGCGGATTTTACCCAGAAAGTGGTATTCAGCATAATAAGTCAGCATTTAACTCTTTGAGTCCCAGAGAGTTAAGCATTACAGGCCCAAGTGGTAGTTAAGATAGAAGTAAAACCAGCGCATCATGCGTTCATTGGGCTTCTAGGCAGGAATCTATGAACATTTGATGCGTTCCTTAGGACTCAAAGAGTTAAGGGCATTTACAAGAAAAATAACATAACTATTGGCTCAAAATGATGATCCTTGCAAAGACAACCCTTCGATTAAAAATCTCCCTGTGTGGGTTCCAGGCCCTATTATAGGGGGAAAAAAAAGAATAGGCCCTCTGCCTACCCAAAAGCATGTCGTAAGAGTCGACTAATTGGGAGCATCATTCCAATTCAGAGTGCATCTGCCTGAGAGGAAAGGAACCAGCAGTCTGCATACAAATGAGTCAGATCTGTAAAACGGATGCACAAGCAACATTCACGTTCTCGAACAGGGCTGCAGTCTAAAAGTGGATGGAATGAACAACCAGAATTTCTGCCAGAGTTTTCAGCTGGTGAACGCGAAGAAGAAGGATTAAAAATCCCTAAGATCATGCGCACCTGATCATTATGAAAAATAATGCTGTTTCTTATATCCAGACACAAAATGCAATCACTGTTTTGAGTTTTTGATATCATTTGAAAAACAATATCCATTTTTGAGTTAGAGAGCTATCAGATTGTTGTTTATTTATTTACTTCTTCCTGTGTGTGTGAAAAGACTTCCTCAGCTATGTCAGTAATAAAAAACCAGAGAGAGAAATTAAAAGGATGTTATTGCAGTGCTTAGTCTATTAGGAATAACACTCCAGCCAGGTATACAGATTATCTAAACTTCAAACAGGAGATGTCACATTAGCTGAAAATTGTAAAAACTGTGTCATCAGATTTAACACACACTCAAAAGTGCTATCTACATTTTTTATTTCTGTGTTTGATTAGCTATCATGTCAAATGGGCTGTAAAACAACAACCCCCCCCCCCCCCCCCCCCCCCCCTTTTAACATTACGTGGCCTGTGGGTGTAAAAAAGTTAAGGAACACTGTTGAAAGCAACAGAGCTATTGTCAAAAAGAGGAAATTAACTAAGCTATGGGAGGGAAAATGGAATCATGACTTCATGATAGAAGAGCAGACAGGCTTGGCAGAAATAAAGAAACTGCTATTTTCAGATTGAAAATGTGCCATTGTAAACTCCGAACACACCATACAAATGTGGTGTACCAAAGCTACCCATGTTTTATAAGACTCCAGATAGAAAGAAGAAACTGGATCAACAAGATAACTTATGAAGCACTCTTAAAGACCTCAAAATACTATCATGTTTGTGACCCATGCAGGAATGGATGCACAGTAAATGCAGACTGCTGAAGAAGACAAATACTTACTCAAGTTAAACTCATGGAAGGTAAAACACTTCAGTTATAATAGATTCTGCAGAGATGTAGTTTTATAGATTAATATTAAGAACATCGCAGACAGATAAAATGCATAATGAAGATGACCTGAAAAGAAAATGTAATTCATAAAGAGGACTGGTTACCGGCAGAAGATGACCTGAAAATGAAAATGTAATCCATAAAGAGGACTGGTTACCGGCATAGAAGATGACCTGAAAAGAAAATGTAATCCATAAAGAGGACTGGTTACCGGCAAAGAAGATGACCTGAAAAGAAAATGTAATCCATAAAGAGGACTGGTTACCGGCATAGAAGATAACCTGAAAAGAAAATGTAATCCATAAAGAGGACTGGTTACCGGCATAGAAGATGACCTGAAAAGAAAATGTAATCCATAAAGAGGACTGGTTACCGGCATAGAAGATGACCTGAAAAGAAAATGTAATCCATAAAGAGGACTGGTTACCGGCAAAGAAGATGACCTGAAAAGAAAATGTAATCCATAAAGAGGACTGGTTACTGGCAGAAGATGACCTGAAAAGAAAATGTAATCCATAAAGAGGACTGGTTACCGGCATAGAAGATGACCTGAAAAGAAAATGTAATCCATAAAGAGGACTGGTTACCGGCAAAGAAGATGACCTGAAAAGAAAATGTAATCCATAAAGAGGACTGGTTACTGGCATAGAAGACAACCCATATTTTTGGACAGTGTCAAGAGAAGGGCTACCTGGATTATTCAGTAACAAAAGGAAAGTCACATTGTGAAAAAGCTGCTGGTGGGGTGCGGGGTGGGTGTAGAGGGTTTTACCAAGAGACAAGATTTTAGATTGGCATCTTCTTAGCTTTCACTGGCTTTTAACTCAGAGAGAAAATTCTGGTTGTTCATCCACTTCTGGATTTTGTCTTGTTCAAGTGCTTAAATTTTGTGAGTACATCCCTTTTACAGATCTGGCTCATTTGTATGCAGACTGTTGGTTCCTGGCCTCTCAGGCTGATGCACTCCGACTTTGAAGGAAACATCCTACCTAGTCACCTTGTATGACATGGTGGTCTGGTAGTTTTAGTTTCAGCTTCATAGCAAACGGGTCACCCCCATCTTTGCTCCGCTCCTGTGCCAACGAAAAACACACAGAATGTCTATCACAGTCCCTTGTGGAAAGATTGACAGACTGCTGTCTCAGCATATCTAGCATACACACGCATTAAAGCATATGGTAGCCATCCGAAGTGCTAACACAAACAGTCCGACATTAGAAATGCAGTTCATCATTAATGACATGCTTGTTGGTGGGGCGGGTATCTATTCTTTCCCACCAAAATGGGTTCCAGGAATCTATATTATAAAAGTTTAGCTGTACATGAGAGAGAAGGCTGAGGCCATACATGATGATCAATACAACACACAACTAATTATTGCAAATAAAAAATAAAAACTGGTGACCTACATCAGAAAAAAAAAAAAAAACCACATTCTTTCTGCAAATTACAAAAATGAGACAACTGCAGTACATCTTAACAAGAGAAAAGTTGGAGGGTAGCGCAAAGAAAGAAAATGGTAGTTTAGCGTCATGGCATGGAGAAACATTTGTATCAGAATTGTTTTGCAGTACACAAGACAGAAGACAAGGATAGACATAACTGTCCAATGCCATACAATACAGACAATAACAAGCAGACACCATTTTAACTCAGCATTTACTACTTAAATATTTTTTTTTAACATTACTGTTAATGAGATCTGAGAAATCCTCATAAAATTTTATGAATCAGCACCTCTCAACACAGCATAATAACAATTCCAACAAAAAAATGACCCCAATTAGCAAAGGTCAGCACAGGTTGTATTAGTTTAAGAGCAAAAGGTACAATAGACAATTATAATGGTCATTTTTTTAAAAACAGATTCTATATGGTGGGAGTTTTAACATGTCTTAGAGGTTGCCTATTACTTCATATGACCTAGGAGGAGGAAAGATTGTCATTATTATGTAACTATCCTTTTCTTCTTCTTTTCTCTACTTCTGGAATGCTTCGTCTGTCAGAGCCAGAAGCGATCTCGTCTTCTTCTTCTTGTGTTTGCTTTCTGATTTACACTGACAGACAGGTTCTTGTGATAAACTTGACTGTTTTTATGAGTTCCTTTTCAGTCCCATACAACTTTGTGTGCAGTGGTGACTCTCTGGGCCAGTATTCTCTTCTCAATGGGATGAACAAGGGACAGTCTTGCAGGACATGTTCTGTAGTCTGCACACATAGCCCACAAGGACACACGGGTGAACTACTTAGACGAAGCCTGTGCATATGCTGGTTAAGTTAAGCGATCTCTAAAACGGGCTCTTCTGTTTGCTTCATATAAAGTACTTTTCACTGTCTCTGATATTTCTGTGGTCCATCTTCTGCACAGTCAACTTCTGCTTCTGTTAGCGTTGTATCTGTATAAAATTGCTCTCTGTGGTGCCCTGTCCAATGCCACTCTTGTAACATGGCCATACCATTTTATTTGTTGTTTATCTTTAAAGTTTTGTACTGGTT